GAGATCCTCGCTCATGAGGAGAGTGGACTGGAACTGCTCCACGTCACGATGACTCTTCCAGTCCACAACGACATCCAAAGACAGCTTCGGCTGCTTCATGATGCGGAGAGTCTCCTTAATAGCCTTGTTGCAAAACATGTATTTTCGAAACATAACAAACAGCTCGACCGCGGTCCGAAACTCCTCTTCACCGTCTTCACTGGATACTGAAGCTGTGGAGGAAAGAGGCGGGTTACTGGGTGACTCGCTGCCAGACGCATTGTCACCACATGAGGGGTGCTCGTTCACTCCTTGTCTCACAGGGCCTCCCTCAACCGGTGGCAGAATAGACGCTGAAGAGGCGACATCCTCCCGTTCAGGACAATCTGGGGTGGAGCGACCTGCGGGTGTCCGATTGGGTGTGGTGCACTCGGTAGGTGCATCTTGTTCGAGAAGGCACAGCTCGTCATAGGCCTAGTGGCTCTTTAACTTAGCGTAGGATGCCATCCCTCTCTCACAATGACCGCACTTGAACCTTGAACGCCTGCCGTGCATGTCGGCTTACCCGGGTCTCACGAATTTCTCCCTCACCATATCCAGGGCACGATCCCTGCCAGACTCACACTGTATCTGGTGGGAGCAGGGGTCAAAGATCCAACCGCGAAGTGGTACACCCGGGGCATGTGTTTTCTCCACAATGTTATAAATGTGTAACACAAAACTTGCAGCACAACACTCGAGTTAGCTCCAAACGAGACAATTCATGATCCAGACTGAGATGCATTCACAGGTCACCTGTTTGTCCCGCTGCACCGCAAGGTCAGTCACCGCATGGATCTGTGGGCTCAGCCTAATGGTCCGTGGGTTCTACGTATATGTCCCACGTGAGTCTGGTCCTGCCCAATATCCCTGCACCACTCTAATCCCTCCAGGGAAACATGCAGCAAGCACGTGAGCTGGAGATGCGTGGGCGCAAGGCCAAGCACGTCTCTTTCTATGACAATCCTGCAACCCCCTTGGAGGCATTATTCGAGCTGATATCAGCAGAGTATGATGTGAGCAGGACCCTCTTCTATGAGGCCATGGATGACGTGGACCTGGCGGGTAAGCTGCGGTGGGTGTGGACCCATTGGAAGAATCAGGCGGCCTTCGCCATGAAGAAGGCCATGATGAAGGCATGGGGCTTGCCCACCAAAGGCCTAAAGGCTTCACAGCTGCAGATCCAGGTGGTGGACAAGCAGAAGCTGTGGAACCTCTACGCCCCCAGTGAGTGCTCCATCTAGCTACGATCAAGGCCAGTGCGGCTCCCACTGCGCATCTCCTTCCTATTCTTGTGTAATGTTGCGCCCACTCCCGGTCTGTACCTCTGCTCCCTCACGCTGCCTCTCTGTTGCCACCCTAACCTCCTAGGACGGCGCCTGGGGCAGCTTGTGAGCTCGTGAAGCAAGGAGGACGTGGGGGCAGACCCTTTCACCAGTGAGGATTTCTTCGATGGCGCACGTCAGGCGTACAAAAAATGGGTGCGGCATGAGACACTGATTCTCATACCCTATCACATCGCCTGGCTGCTCTACGTGGTGAGCGCCTTTGTCTTGCCTTTTGACCGAGTGGCGTCTAGAGATTTGTATTTAGGATGGATGTTGTGAGTTGCGTGCCTCCCCGCATACTGGGTCCTTACGAAAATGGCGTGCCTCTTTTTTTTTGCATGTGTATATTTATCACCCTATTGCGGGTAGACTTTGGCATCTCCAACCACAAGGGCACGTGTATGAACCTGCCCAACTCCCTCTACACGAACGTACACTACATGAAGCGACACCACAGCTGCGTGTGGGAGGTGGTGGATGAGGGCCTGCGGACTCGCAGGCACCCGTGGGATGCAGAGATGGGGGCATTCCGCTGGGGCAAGCACGGGCTCTTCATCCACCCGTCTGGCTTTGAGGGCTACATTCCTTCATCCAGCGACGCAGAGGACGAGTGATGCTGCCCTTGCAGCCTGTGGCACATGTGGGGTCCTTCCCCCCCTCTTGCTCGGTTTGCCAACATCCTCGTCGCAACTCGTCCCTCGTCTGCCCCTTTTCCACCGGCGGCTGTCCGATATGTGCCCAGGCACCTTCCCCCACGCTGTTTCGCTTGTGTAGTGCCCGGAGGCCATAACATTTAGGCATGATGGGCCTGGCTCTGTGGCGGCTGTGAAAACTTGGCTCTCTTTTTTCAGGTTGTCAAATACTCATGTATGGGTTGCTGTAGGATGCTTCGGGGTTGCGGTATCTGACACCCCGGCTACTTTGTGTGCCCAGCTATCATGTAAGCAACTCGTCTGTACATGTCCCTCTCACATTTTGGAATAGTTTGTGATACTATTCATATAACGTGTGGTGTCCATTTTGTGTTAGAATGGTGTCCTGATTGCTCGAGCTGGGAAATCCCGACCCGCGTGGCATCTGTGACGACTTTGCTGCCGATGTTGGTGTTCGGATTGTACCCGCGTTCGAATGTCATTGCCGATTTGTGTTCAAAAGTGCTCACGTGGTGATCAGCCGTGGTGTTCAAAACGTGTTCGGAAAGCCTACCATGTTGGTGTTTAAAAAGTGGCAACACGTTGTAGCACAAAGGCGACCTTTCGAGGGGTATGGTTTTTGTGTTCAATAGGTATACACACTGAGTATTTTGTGACGGTTCCCGGACACGGCATTTCTGAGATGTCCATTGTACCACATTCTGTTATTCTGAACCTCGACATTCAATTCCGAGCTAGTTTGGTTAAAGTGAGGATCTCAAGAAGCAAAAATTCAAATCCAAAGGTTTTGGATTAGCAATGTGGCAAAATAAGCCAATGGCAAGCGACAAAAAAATTGCCGAGCCACCCTAGTCGAAGGTATACGTGACAAAGTTGATATGCGTGGCGCAATGTAGGGCGTGTTCAGAAGTTAAAAAAATAAAAACACTGGTCTTCCAAACAGCAGCAAATGTGACACGCAAAGCAGATGCATGTCGAATTATACTTCTCCTATACCGGAAACCAGGGTCCACAACACCCTTGGGAATGCCACCTCTCCTCCCTGCCAAATATGATCAAGAGCTACCAAGCTTCACCTAGACAAACAACACAACAAACTAGCAGTGTACCACTGCGAGTAGAAATAGAGCAAAGCCAAGGACAAACAAAAACAGAATTCCACAACTTTAGAGCACACGCTGGCCAGTTTTTACATTCATCCCAGTTATAGACATACATAGAAATTCCAGGCCATTAAAACTCTATAGCTAATGGGGCGAATATTAGTATGCAACACCAAAGAAAGCATATATGCACAAGTTATTTTGACGGCAGAGAGCACCAAAGAATGCCCTCGCAACATAGCCCAGCAGCCATATCCTATGCGGCGAAAATATCCGAAAGGGGGGTAAGAGTGAACGTAGGGGGGTTGAGAACGCGAGCAGGGGAGGGGGGGTGGCAGTCAAACTATGAGGTAGCAGCAGTGCGGACACATGGAATGAGTGGTGTGGACCGGGCAGGGATGAAAGATGCAGGCACACAGGGATATGGAAAACTCAGTCGGAGGGGGGGTTTTGGGTGGGCGGTGGATCTGCGAGGTAAGAGGGCAGGAGCGGTGGCAGGGGGGTGAGAAGGGAGTGGAGAGGTGAAAACTGGGCAGGTAAAACGCATGGACACGAGGCGCTGGAAATGGAATCAGGGGTGAGAGCGAGCGGTCAGAGTAAGGGGGGGGGGAGGGGGGGAGGAGGGGGGGGCGGTCAGAAGTACATGAGTGCAGCATGGACGGGAGGGAGCGACGCTGTCTTAAGTGCAGGGGAAGGGGGGGATGGAGTAGGGTGAGGGCATGTGAGCAGGAAAGTCGGGGGAGATAGGCAGGAGAGAGCTGAGACCTAATGTTAGAGATAGGCTGCAATTCGGTTGGCACAACTTTGTGTGTTGGCACTTTGTTGGTTTTAGGGATACGCATACAGGTTAGGTTGGGTGTAGCTATGTTTTCATCCCCAACCTATCCCAACCGAATCTATCCCAAATCCCCACGATTTGGGAGGATTCCCTTGGGATTCCCTCCGTTTCTCCCTTATCCCTTCCCATCCTCTCCGATGCTAGGTACTTCAGGATGTATGCTCTTGCTCATTCTATTAATGAAGTTCTCAGTTTCTGATACCTAAACCATGGAGGGAGGAGGGAGGAGGGAGGAGGGAGGAGGGAGGAGGGAGGAGGGAGGAGGGAGGAGGGAGGGCGGAGGAGGGACGGCAGAGGTGGGAGGAGGGAGGAGGGAGGAGGGAGGAGGGGGGGATAGTGCGCGGGTAAAACATGAAAGATGGGTACCTGCGGGGTGAGAGGGCAGGAACTGGAGCAGGGGGTGAGATGGGAGTGGGGACATGACACTAGGCAAATGAGCAGCCATAGTCGTGGGAAGGTGGGAACGTAAGCAGAAGGGGGCGGGGGGGGGAGGGGGGATTGGCGAGGTACGAAGGAAGAAAGAAAGGGATGCAGGAAGGGAGGGAGGGTGAGCGAGGGAAGGAAGTGGGGGGGGAAGGAAGGAGAGAGGGAGCGTCACTGTGTTGAAAGAGGGGAAAAGGGGGAATGGAGTTGGAGAAAAGGGGGAGAATGAGGGAGGGGAGGGATGGGACATCGCAAAAATTCAGTGTCCGAAAAGCATTTGCGCAGTGTTGTTGCGAACACCTTTCAGGTGGTTTCCAAATTGGTGGGTCCAAACACTTCGCGGTGTAAGTTGGAAAGACCTCGCAGATGGTTTGTCAAACACCACTCAAATGGTTTGTCAAACGCCACGCAGATGGTTTGCCGACACCGCGCTGATGTTATTTGGTCGTACGCGATAACACCTCCACGTCACCATGCGGTCATGCTGGAAGAGAACTTTTGTACAGTGCACGAAGACCATTACAAGTTTGTTCGCGTCACGCTTACATCTCTTCATTGTGTTTGAGGCGTGTTGTTGTCCTTTTTTTGGTACATTCTATATCCGTTACTGCCACATCCGCTAGTACTCCATTGCCACAGATATTAGGCTCATTAATTGGTATAGATGGCCAGTAGAAGAAACACATCAGTGTCACAAGAAAACACATCAGTGACACAAAATCTCAGGGTTTAGACCTCTACCCGCATCCAAGCTGTGATCGCCCTACCAACCGCATCCGGACAAAAGGAGCACTACCCTGGAAGTAAATCGGAAACGACCCGTACGATGGCATCAACCCCCTCCTTCCTCGTTGAGAGAGCACATACTACTGCTGCAAGCCCCCACCTACTCCCACCGCTGCCGCTGCAGCTATGATAAACCTAGCTAACCACCAAGGTATGAGTCTGGCCCTGCTGCTGCTTGTGGTTCGTTCATCCCACAACCCCCCCTCCCCCCCCCCCCCCCCCCACACCACAGGCTGCTGCTGAGACCCCTCCCTCGCTGCTGCCACCTGTGCCTCATTCTCCATATCCCCTCTCCCCCCTCCCCCCCAAGGCTGCTGCTGAGACCCCTGCCTTGCTGCTGCCACCTGTGCCTCATTCCCCAAATCCCCTCTCCCCCCACCCGAAGCTGCTGCTGAGACCCCTCGCTTGCTGCTGCCACCTGTGCCTCATTCCCCGAATCCCTCCCCCCACCCTAGGCTGCGGCTGAGACCCCTGCCTTGCTGCTGCCACCTGTGCCTCATTCCCCGAATCCCCTCTCCCCCCACCACAGGCTGCTGCTGAGACCCCTCCCTTGCTGCTGCCACCTGTGCCTCATCCCCCAGTCCCCTATCCCCCCCCTCCCCAAGCTGATGCTCATATCCATTCCTCGCGCCCGCTGTTGCCTCAACCCTTTAACTCCCCCCCCCCCACCACAGCCTGATGCCGAACCCACTCATGCGCTGCTGCCGGTGCCTCATATCACAAATGCTCCCAACCACAACTTCCAGTTCTTGCCGCTGCTGTGAGCGGCTTTATCAATACCCACTATAGTGTGATACCCAAATGTCAAGGCCACTCACATCCCTCAAAAGGAACCCGCCCTCGAGCGCCCCCACCCCAACCTGCTGGTCCTGAAAGCCCCGCACACCACCCGCCCAGCCCACCTGTTTCACATCATTTCGCTGCCAGCACCCCACCCCTCAAACGACGCTGCCACATCATGCATCTGCAAACACCCCATGGTTATGAACCCAGCACACGCCAGTACTGGCGCTTGCAATAAGCCCCTCCCATTGTGGGATGGCTGCCCCTTCAGAATGATGCTGACAGACCCTTCCCTCCAGAGCCCACGCCAATACTTGGCTCCACTTCCGTCCCAGTTGTATCCGTCCCCTGCCCTGAACGGTGTGGTGATGCCACCCCTGCACATACCTGCCTCACCCCTGCAAAAGGACCCTTAATCCTTAGCCTCTCCCTCTCCACCTTTGGGCGCCTTCCCCTTGCCCTCCCTCCCTGGTTCCTGCCACTCGTCCTTGAAGCCACTCTCATGGACGTAAAGTCCATACTCTCCCCATTTCCACCCCCGCATGTCCTTGCTGTACTCCTTGGGGTAGTTGCTGAAGTGGTCAATGACCACCTGTCGCACCCTCTTGTGAAGGTCCGTTATCCAGGCCTTGTTCTTGGGGTGTGAGTTAGAGAGGCCCATCGTGGTGTGCCTGCGGCGGGTCAGCCCATAGTCGACCTGGGGAAGAGGGTGGCCGAGGGGGTTTGTAAAAGGGTCAGGGAGGTGGGGGACGGGAATGGGGTTGCATGAGCCGAGCACAATCGGGAGGATACTAGAGCCCAAGCCACGGCGTCCTTTAAGGCGCGCTCCCCGCCACTTACCACCATGATAATCCAGGCAATGTGATACGCCTTCAGACAGAGCTTCCCCGCCACAGCCCACTGCTGAAACGCATCGAACGCCGCCTGAAAGAAGATCTTGTTGGCAAAAGGCTGCCCGGAGTGCACCCCTGGGGGTGGCTTCGCCGAGCCCCAGGTGCTCACCAACTGCCCAAACCTCCTTCCTGTTGGGGGTAACGGCAGCACAGATGGAGGTGCATGATGCTCAAATGGTGTGAGGATATGGGGAGTGAACACGAGGTATTAACTTCAATGACATGCGCCCTACTAAACAACTGTGACCGCGCAGCTACATGAGTACTTACGAGGCTTGAAGTCATGCCAGAGGGCCATCTTGTCATCAAGGTCCACATGGATCTTGGAGCCCCTCGCCCACTTGACCTTCACCCCTAGCTCCGTCAACACCCGCCTCTTGATCAGGAACCCCCGCTCGTTCTTCCACTGCGTCCATACACGCTTGAATTTATCGTTGTAGTTGTTGTCGGTCATTGCCTCCTGAACAGCCACGAAAGACACGTCGTAGCCCTCCATCACCAAAACCGTGTGAAGGTCCACCATGCGGAGGTAGAAGGTCGTGTAGAAGTCAATGCCCGCATCAGGCGCATCGATGCACATCCGGTCGCGCGAGGTTTCGTAATGGATCTGTGGACGGATGGGCGTCGGGGGGGGGGGGGGAATGGGGGGGAGAGAGGGCGGGGACAGACAACCAGAGGCATGGGGAGACGGAGGGGAAATGGCAGCAAAGCAGATGCCAAAAAGCAGGTGAGATGTGGAGAGAACTTGTGTGCCACACCAGGAATGAGAGAAGCTGTGGGTATGGGTGGGAGGGAGGGGAACAAACATGCAAAGGATGGAGGGAGAAGTACTCCTTGTTGCCAGAGGCAGAGAACCTGTGGGAAGGGGCAGGAGGGAGAGAGTAGGCGGGCAAGGGCAGCGACATGAGGGAGAGATCTCGAGGTCAATGAAAGGATGGAGAGAACGTGTGGATAGGGGCACGAGGAACAGGGTAGGCTGGCAGGGGCATCCAGGGTAACGACATGAGCGAGCAAACCTGCGGACAGAGGGCAGGAGGGAGAGAACATGTGGAGAAGGGCAAGAGGGAGAGAACCTGTCTGTAAGGGCAGGAAGGAGAGGGTGGGCGGGCAAGGGCACACAGGGCAAGGTCATGAGGTGGACAACCACCGGCCAATGGCATGTGAGTGATCTGTGGGCAAGGGCAGGATGGACAGGGTAGGCAGGCAAAGGCAATGAGGGCATCGACATCAGGGCATGTATGGTACGGTATGGAATTGCATGTATGGTATGGCATGCTAACCTATGACATGGCATGGCATGCTATAGTATGACTTGGTGTGCTATGCTATGGTATGGTTCGGTGGCATGGCATGGCATGTATATACGCACAGGAATTCAAGGTCAGTGAGCGTGCCTATGGTTTCTCCAAGTGGACCCCAGAACTTGTTGTCGCTCATGTCACTGGTGTTTGTAGAGGGAGCAAGGAAACAAAACAATGAGACGCAAGTGACAAGCTCAGGAAACTTTGTAGGAGTGATCGATAGAGATGTTTCGATGATAAGAAAGAGGTAGAAGAGCACGTGAGAATGGGCACCAGCAATCAAACGAGCTCCAAGCTCTAAATGAGGGTATCTTACGTTTCGACAAACATATCGTGGCTGTAGTGGCATAATGCCAGAGACACGCAGTTCCACCTGTGCCCTTAAGGACTAAGCACAGGTGCAGCGATAGTGTACGACTTACAGCCATGTGAGCTTAGTGAGGGTGCTTATATACGATGGGAAGGAGCAGTTCATACTGTTGAAATGAACGTCCCTGCAGCCATCAGAGGTTAAAGGGCGCAGGCGAGCATAGGTTTGAAACACGGGAATTAGCTAGCAGTGCAATGTGTCGTAGACTTGAGGCTGCATCATTCAACCTTCACAGAATTCTCAAATAATTATCCAAAAGGTGAGTCAACTCCTGTAAAAAATCCAAATAATGATGTGAGAGGGCGCCAGTACGAAGCTGGGAGTAAAGGTGGGTGGAGGGATGTAATTGAAGAGGTGAAGGAAAGTTTAATCAACGACGATTGAAAGGAGTGACTGACAGCGCGACAAGGTTGGTGAGGCTGCTAATGGCCGCTGGGAAAGTCCCGTTGATGAAGTTGATAGAGATGTTCCTGTGAGGATGATGATTAAAAGCAAGTAAGAAAGTGTAACAGTGGTGTTGATTCCCCTTAGCTTTACGGACCATAGGAAAGATGACGGAGATGTTGCTGAGTTAGCCATAGGTTAGAGGCAAGAATGAAAGAGGATTACGACCATTGACCTTTACAAGAGTCCCATTGATGAAGTTGATATGTTGGTGGGATAGCCATAGCCGTATCGGTGGAGGCAAAGGATTACTAGGTGACAAAATCTCAGAGATGATTGTGCCACTATCAGGGGAAATGGTGAAAAGACCACGTGGGGAAAGGGAGAACATGTGGAAATTTTGAGAGAAATATGAGTGGTACGCAACACAATGCCACTTACAAGTTGGTGAGGCTGATCAGACTGCTGATGCTGGCAGGAAGTGTTTGGTTCAACTGGTTGTTTGCAACTTGCCTGCAGGAGTGGAAACACAGGAAAATCAGCTGAAATTGTCATTGTGGTAAGAAAATGTCTCAAACGGATAGTGACATGATGACGTCAAGCACTCAACCTCGTGTAACAAATGTAATGCTGGCATCGTAAGAATATGACATCGATTTTGAGTAACCAATGTAGTTCCTACAGGTGCGTGACTGCCTACAGTTGCTTGAGTGCCTACAGGTGCTTGAGTGCCTACAGGTGCGTGAGTGCCTACAGGTGCTTGAGTGCCGAGAGTCTGCTGAAGGAGACCGGGAGCGATCCATTGAGGCCGTTGTAGCTGACGTCACTGGTGGGCAGAGGGAATAGCAAGTGAAGAGAAAACGGAGTGTCTCAAAAACAACCAGTGAGAGCAGAGCTCCATTGAGCAGAGTTCCATTGAGCAGGGCTCCATTGAGCAGAGCTCCATTGAGCAGGGCTCCATTGAAGCAGCTGGCAGACAGGAAGCGAATGAAGAAATGAGACAAGAGCAATGAGGAGACAGAGTGAAGAGCTCACAATCAAAGGAGGCCTCCCAAGCAGAGACGAGCTCCCAATTAGAGGAGGGCTCACAAGCAGGGGAGGGCTCACAGGTAGACGAGGGCTCACAAGTAGAGAAGGTGTGAGAAATCGCCGAAGGATGCTGGAATGGACCCGTTTAGCAGATTCGTTGAGAAATTCCTGAAGCATGCAGAGAGGGTTGAGAGAAAGACAACTGGATGTCATGAATTAAGGGCACATGGGGTGGGGGGTGCATACAGAGAACGCAGCTTATTGGTTAGGTGCCAGCGAATGTACAGAGAGCGGATGATGTTTGTTAGGTAGAATGTACAGACAGCGGAGGTTATCAGTTAGTCACCCTCAAAGAACGTACAGAGAGCGCAGGTTGGTGAGATTGCCCAGAGAATCCGGGATGGTGCCGTTAATGGTGTTGCTGGCCAGGTTGCTGGGGAGGGATCGTAATGGGGATGGGTATGGGTGGGGATGGGAATCGGGATGGGCATTGGGATGGGTATGGGGATGGGCCTGGGGTTGGGCCGTAAGGGGTGCAGAGGAAACACAATCTGAATGGTCACTAGGCTTGCCCAGAGCTGCAGTGCCGTCGATGGAGTTGGTGGTCACCCTGCTGTGAGAGGGACGCGCGTGGGGGCAGGGAACTTAAAATGGGTGCGTCTAAAGGGATGGGTGTGGAAAGCCAGAGTGACCATCCATATAAAGTTGATGGGTGCTTGGGCATTCTTGAGATAATTCGGAAGAAGGAAGGAAGGTTGGGTCTCAAGCGAAGGTCTGTGATAATGCTGCAACTTGCGCTGTTGACATCACGCCTAAGGCATGTGATGCGCACTCCCCGCTCCAAAGTTTTGTCATAGGTGCTGCCAAGGCATGTGATAAGCGTGCTAAGGTCTGTGACAGGCCTGCAACGGTTTGTGATAGGTGATGTACAGGTGTGTGACAAGTGCTGCAATTTGTAAGGGGTGGCGACATTGCAAGGGACGAAGGGCATCTGCATGAGATGTATACTCACAGGTTTGTAAGGGCAGTCAGCTGGTCGAGATCTTCAGGCAGATTGCCGTTGAAAGAGTTCATGCTGAGATCACTGGAGAGACAGAAGAGGGGGGCATGAATAGAGAGAGAGGGGTTAGTGAGAGCAGTAAGCTGGTATAATCCTTCGGGCAGAGTGCTCTTAAATGAGCTCACGCTGAGTTCACTGGAGAGGGAATGAGATGAAGAGGGAGAGGGAGAGGGATCATTAGGAAAAGTGGGTTTAGGGTAATGTGATGGTATGGAGCAAAGGGTGGGATGGGTGTGAGAGGTGCGATGGGTGGAATGAGTATGATGGGTGGAATGAGTATGATGGGTGGAATGAGGATGATGGGTGGAATGAGTATGATGGGTGGAATGAGTATGATGGGTGGAATGAATATGATGGTTGGAATGAGGATGATGGGTGGAATGAATATGATGGGTGGAATGAATATGATGGGTGGAATGAGTATGATGGGTGGAATGAATATGATGGGTGGAATGAATATGATGGGTGGAATGAATATGATGGGTGGAATGAGTATGATGGGTGGAATGAGTATGATGGGTGGAATGAGTATGATGGGTGGAATGAGTATGATGGGTGGAATGAGTATGATGGGTGGAATGAATAAGATGGTTGGAATGAGGATGATGGGTGGAATGAGTATGATGGGTGGAATGAATATGATGGTTGGAATGAGGATGATGGGTGGAATGAGTATGATGGGTGGAATGAGTATGATGGGTGGAATGAATATGATGGGTGGAATGAATATGATGGGTGGAATGAATATGATGGGTGGAATGAATATGGTGGGTGGAATGAATATGATGGGTGGCAACGTTGGGCCCTTCAAATTGAGAGAGAGGAATGGGCACTGACAGGTGGGAGAGAGGAATGGGCACTGACAGGTGGGAGAGAGGAATGGGCACTGACAGGTGGGAGCGAGGAATGGGCACTGACAGGTGGGAGAGGAGGGAGATTCTACCAAGGCCTTTGGGCAGAGTGCCGTTCAGCTGGTTGACGCTCAGATCGCTGGAGGGGGGCGGAAGAGAGGGTGGGAGAGGGTGGGGGGGTTGAAGAGATGGTGGGGAGAGGAGGAGAGGGTGGGGGAGAGGATAGGTGGGTGTGTAGACGAGGAGAGAGTTGGGAGAGGAAGTGAGGGTGGGGGAAGAATTGGCATATGGTGCGAGTGGCGGTGTGAGGCAGATGAAGAACGTTGCCGTGAAACAATGTAACAAGATGCAGGAAGTTCTGAAGCCTCGACAGAGAGCCACAAGGGAAGGAGCAGAGAGGTTGGACAGGGATGGAAAGGGGTGGAGATGGTGAACACGGGTGAACAGGGGTGGAGAGGGTGGACAGGGGTGGAGGAGTGGACAGGAGTGGAGAGGGTGGACAGAGGTGGAGAGGGTGGACAGCGGTGGAGGTGTGGACAGGGGTGGAGAGACACTCACAGGTGTTGCAGCAGCGAGAGCTTGCCCACCCCTCCAGACACGGTGCCCTGGAAGCTGTTGGCGCTAAGGTCGCTGTGGGGCGATGGGGGGGGAGATGGCGGGGATGGGGAGATGGGAGATGGGAGAGGTGGGGGAGGTGGGGGGGATGGGGTGGAGGAAGGCGAAAGGGAAAGGTAAAGGGGATTGCATGAAGTAGGAATGCGACCAGAGGAAACATAACAAGGGCTTAAAATCTGAGTCAAATTCCGAGGCCCGATCAGAAGCAGCATGATTAGAAAGCCATTTGAGACGGCTCAACACAGGATCCATGCATGTGGGAATGTGAGAACCACTGGGATGTAGCATGTGTGCGTCACCTAGAGGTGGGTGAGGCATGCATGTGTCGCTCACAGGTGGTTCAAGCATGCATCTGTTACTCACAGGTGGGCGAGGCGGCTGTATTTGCGCAGCTTAGGCAGCGTGCCATTCAAGGCGTTGGAGCTAAGGTCTCTGCACATGATCAAACAAGTGGAAAAAAAAAGTAAATCCAATCCGATTGTCGCCTTGTGGGAGAATATGCCTGCGCACGTGCAAACAACGAGCAAGCAAAAGGTGTCGCTAACAATCACCAGTTTTGCAGAAACATGAGAATGATACGCTTGACACACAATGCTTGCATGCAGTAGGAACAGTAAAATAGAAACAAGAAGTCTTTAAATGCTCTGCATATCACGGAATACACGAGCAACCTAGCTGCATCACTGTAGACCTCCCTCCACTTGGTTCAAGTCCATTGAGTTACTAGGTAGCTCCTAATGGCTCTCGGTTTTAATCAAGATGGCGTTCAAAAAGTAGCAGGAACGCATTTCAGTATTAGGGTGAGTGAGGGAACATTGGGAGGCAGCATGAGGCCATGGAGACTCACAGGGCGTAGAGGCCAGTGAGATAGCTCAGCATGCCAGGAACAGTGCCCATCAGGGAACAGCCGGACAGATTGCTGTGCAGAGAGGGGTGGAGCGAGGGGAAGAGAGGGAGAGAGGGGGAGAGAAAGGGCGAGAGGGTTGAGGGTTGAGGGTTGAGGTTTGAGGGGGTTTATTGCGTAGAGGCCATGGAAGTAGCTCAGCAAGCCAGGGACAGGACCAGTCAGAGAACAACAGCACTGGTTGTGGTTGCGGTCATAATGATGCCTTGGATCTTTTTTTCTTGTATCCATTTTTATTGGCTCTGGTGTTCCTTGAACCTGGCTCCTTCCTACAGCAGATAGAGAGTTCTCGTACGCGGATGTGTTTTGTTGCATTCTATAAGCTGCCGCCTTCTGCATGCACCCTGTAAGGTTCTATGCGCTGTTTCACTGGCTGCGTTGTGTATGATTCGCATAACGGTGGTTGCTGTCCTGCTAATGAGCAATCTGTCAACACTTAGCAGAGGACCATTTAGTCCCTTGTGATCAATGGTAAGTTAGCGTTCCACCAAAATTCCACATGCAATCCACGTGCATTCCACGTGCTTAGTGCGTGCATTCCACGCCCATCCCACCTGCATTCCACATGCATTCCACCTGCGTGCCACCTGTATGGGACACGTGACAGGGATCCGCTTACAGGCTAGTGAGTCGGGTCAAGAGGCCGAGGGATGATGGGATGGAGGACGACAGGCTGTTGGTGGACAAGTTTCTGCAGTGTGGGCAAGGATAGAAGGGGATGGGAAACCATGCGGGGATGGAGACAAGGGGTTATTTTAAGAAAATTCGCTTCAAAGAAATGAAGGCAAGGGAAATAAATCCCTGGGAAAAGGAGCCATGTGAGGCAGGAAAAAGGCAAGTGAGAAAGTCAAGAGGTTTCAAAATTCCATAGAGAAAGCAAGCTCGTTGCTGAGCAGCATGTAGTAGGTGGTAAGATAGCATGCTACCTGGAGTAGCTCAGAGCATCACTATAGCAGAGCACCACGTGATATAGATCTTAATTGCCAGTTCAATATTTCAAACTTACATGTCGTTGAGTCTCGTGAGAAGGCCAATGCTCCAAGGCACGCGGCCGCCCAAGCTATTGCTGCTCAAATCGCTGAAGGATGGAAACCAACCCGCAACGTGCGTACAAGAAAGTTACGAAACCCTGACAAATTCGAACAGGCGAGACTAAGGATGGTTAGCGGAACGAACAATAGCATAACAAGCAGAGAAACAGAGAGTCACACAGCCAGCCAGGTGAGCCTGTATCCTGCCAAGCCCACCAGCTTCCAGGGGTGTCAGTGTAACAGTTTACACGGTGGAACGGGTGTGGTTATAGCAGCTGAATGAGAAACGTTCGCAAGCTGATATGGCTTTGCAGGTACCACGGCCCTGCTTCCTTATTTCAATGATGCTACTCTAACAAACATATGCCTGAAGAGCCAGCTTATACCCTTGTTTCCCGTCCACACTATACAGAGTACAAGGGGTGTGAGTGTAACAGCGTAAAGGGTGGGAAGTGGTGCGAGTGTAGCAACTTACAAGGTGGTGACATTAGCAGCTTACAGGGCGGTGAGTGTGTTGAGTCGGCCCAGGGAAACAGGGATGGATGAATTGAAGTAGTTAGACGAGAGGTCCCTGCAGGGGAAAGGACCAAACAGAAGCGGCAGTATTTAGACAACCACCGAGTGGAGAGTGGTGTTATGGAAGTCAACAGGATCCTCCAGATGGAAGCGAAACGTTTTGAATTCCAAGAGACCAGCATGTGATAGAGCAAGTTGAGGAGTTTCATTCCTAGGCTCTAGCCAAAGCAGCTTGAGGTGTAAGTGTTTGATAATAGCCCACTAGGCGTAAACCATTCTTGGACAAAAAGTGTCACAACACATTTGCGCACAAGGGCTAGACCATTTGTTGGCTGATTGGTCATCCAATCTGTACCTGGAGTTGTCGCCCCACTTTCTAGGTTGCACGAGCCCAGCTCAATTGTCTAGAAGGTGTGTTCCTTCTCCGATGTCCCCTTGCGTTGCCTTTAATGCAATAGAGTCTCCTGGCTCCTAATAAGCTAGTGATTCTACTTTAGCTTCCTCTTTGTAAGGGGTTGAATGCTGGAGCTGGTCTCACATGAAGCGCAGCTTAGGCAGCATGCCAAGGCCGGACGGAATGGACCCATGCAGAGAGCTGCCGCTCAGGTCCCTGGCACGGGCATGCAGGGAGAGGACGCAGGGGGGGGGGAGTTTAGTGGGGGAGAGGTGCAAGAGAGGGAGCAGAGGGTGCGAGGGATGGGGGAGAGGTGCAAGGAAGGGGGGGAGGATGCAAGGGAGTGGGAAGAGGGTGCAAAGGAGGAGGGAGAGGGTGCCTGTGGCTCTGATGGCCCCGTGACTCACAGGCGCCTCAGATTCTTCAGCAGACCCAGTTCAGATGGCGTGGTGCCCCACAGGCTGTTGTGGCTCAGGTCGCTGCAGGGGGGATGGGGGAGGAGGGGGAGGAGGTGGAGAAGTGCGGGGCGAGGGAAGGGGGGAAAAGGGGGGAACAGGGAGGGGAGAGGGGAGCACGGGGGTTTTGTGAGGGAGAGGAAGAGGTTACGGAAAAGGGAGAGGTGAGGGGGGGCGAAGGTAGGAGGCACGGTGACAGGTGAGAAGAGAATGACGGTGAGCGGGAGGAAGGGGGAAAGTGGGGGGAAGGGGGGGGCGGGGGAAGAGGGGGGGAGGGTTAGAAGGAAGAAGGAATGAAAAGAGTGAGAGAGGAGTCCCTCCTCTCCCCAGGGGAGAAGCCGATCAATGCTTACAGAAGCGAGAGGGAGGTCAGAGCACTGAAGGAGATGGGAATGTAGCCACTAAGTGAGCAGTTGGCGAGGTTGCTGTTTGATGGGGACATACAGGTGGCAGGTGACGCAGGAGGAGGGAGAAGGGGGGCAGGGGAGCCGGGGGGGGGGGGGGGGGGGGAGGGGGGGGGTGGGTAGGCGAGAATGAGAGGAGGAATAGGGCATAATAGCATTGTCAAAATAAATTCAGCTGACTCACTGGGCTTGAGTTGACATGGTTGGGACTAGAAGCTCACAGGAGAGTGAGGGAGGTGAGTCTTACAGGAGAGTGAGGGTGGTGAGACTGCCAATCTCCTGCGGAATGCGGCCATCCAATGGAGTGTTGCTCAGGTCGCTGCTCATGACATCCATACCACGACGTATATCATGCAAATGCATGCCATGTCAAGCCGTGGCATGTGAAGGAATGCCAAGCGAAGACGTACCATGTCATGCCAATGTGACACGGCATCAACTATCCATGATATGCATGTCAAAGGAGAAAAAGAAACGATAATGTGATAGAAGTATGGCAACAGGATGGACACACATGCATCAACTTTATGCAGAGCAGGGTAATGGTGGTGATGGGTCCACAGTGGAAGTTGCAATCAACAGTAGACTGTACCAAGTCACCACGCCTGAAAACCACCATGCCCCACATTCAAACCACCATGTGTGACATCGCCATCACCATGCCTCACATTGCCACCACCATGCCATTGCTGTCACACGTCAGCCCTTGCGCTTGGCTGCAGTCCCCCCCTCCGCTCCACCCTGCAGGCGCCATTCCCCATGCCCCACTACACGCAGCTAGCACTGGACCTGTGGGAAGAGAGGGAAGGAGGAGCACAGCACACATGGAGGCATTAGAGGGTGAGTAAAAAGGGAGGTTCCAGAGGACACACGAGCTGAGCATGGATGCATGAGGAGTTAGTAGCAATAGGCACAGCACTGCTCACATTGCATCGCATACCATGACATCACTCTGCATCCCATCCCACCCCACCCCATCCCATCGCATCCCATCCCATCCCACCCCATCCCATCCCATCCCATCACATCCCATCCCATCCCACCCAATCCCATCCCATCACATCACATCACATCACATCACATCACATCACATCGCACCGCAACACTACCCATCCCATCCCATTCATGCCCACCCCATCCCTTCCAAACATATCCCGCCACCTGGCATCACATCACATCACATCACATCACATCACATCACATCACATCACATCACATCACATCACATCACCATCACATCACATCACATCACAACTCATCCCAGCCCATCCCGTCCCATCCCTCCCATCCCTTCCCAACACGTCCCACCACAGAGCATCGCATCCCATCCCATCCCATCCCATCGCATCGCATCGCATCACATCACATAACATCACAACCTATCCCATCCCATCCCATCCCATTCCATCCCATCCCATCCCATCCCATCTCATTGTTGGAAGGGGGCACTGAGATGGCCCAGAGGGGTCCCCCTGAAGGGCTACAGGTGTCGTCCTGGGGGGGTGTGGGTGCGCTGACCCACCATACAAACATGCCCTTTTATCCCAGTTGGTTAGCGAACTGGAGCTATCCCCTCATGGTGCGGTGAGCGAAGATATTGATTGGCGGGGGACCCGGGTTCGATTCCTGGTGTTATGCCTTCCTGTGCCCTTGGTGGGCCCTCCCAGTGAGGGGAGTGTTGGAAGGGGGCACTGAGATGGCCCAGAGGGGTCCCCCTGGAGGGCTACAAGTGTCGTCCTGGGGGGGTGTGGGTGCGCTGACCCACCATACAAACATGCCCTTTTCTCCCAGTTGGTTAGCGAACCGGAGCTATCCCTTCACTCATCCCATCCCATCCCATCCCATCCCATCCCATCCCATCCCATCCCATCCCATCCCATCCCATCCCATCCCATCCCATCCCATCCCATCCCATCCCATCCCATCCCATCCCATCCCATCCCATCCCATCCCATCCCATCCCATCCCATCCCATCCCATCCCATCCCATCCCATCCCATCCCATCCCATCCCATCCCCATCCCCATCCCCATCCCCTCCCATCCCATCCCATCCCCTACGAACACATCCCTTCACATCAACCCCATCCCATCCCATGTCATCAAAGAGCTCTCCCCCGCTTTCCAGAAACGTCGTCCCATATTCATACCCTCTTTCCTACCCCAGTACTATCCTATGTCAAGTCACCTTGCAGCGCGTCTATAGGTACGACGGGCCCTGCAGCTTGCACATAGAGGTTCGGGAAAAGAGGCGCCGCCAGCAGCGCCGTGAGAAGGAGTAAATACTGCATCATCCTCTGGGAGCAGCGCGCCCCGAGCCCCGCTGCTTCAGTCTCCCTACTAGCAGTGCCGGTCAAAGGGCTGAGCCCGCCCCGAATCAGAGCAAAAAGACTCAAAACTCGCAAAGTAGCTGCGCTTTGGGGCTGTGTGTCGGAACTAAAATGCCCGAAGTGCTTCAACTAGCTAGTTGGTGCGTCGGAAATGGTATTTCCAGGAACTAAGTACAGAGCCAGCAGGAAAGGAGTCTTCAGAATAGAGTTGCGCGCAGACGGCTCTACTAGAAATGGACTGAAGACAGGATGAATTTAGCGTGAGCTTGACTTATACAAGCATACTAGCACTGTTAAAATGGACTGAAGACAGGATGAAATTAGTGTGAGTGCTGTGGATTCTTGCAAGTTTTTTTGGAAGCAACGGCTTCTTGGAAGAGATTCAGCAGTAGTACACGCAGTAACAGGAGCTGACACAAGAAATGGTGGGAGGATTGCTAGGGCTCAAATCCGAGCTGCGAGTCGCGGGCTCCAAGAACATTGTTCTTGTGCGGGGGTGTCGAGGTATCTTGGAGCGCTTTGGGAATAGAAACATCCAGGTCGGAAGATCTGACGGTTGAAATTCCCAGCATGAACCCATACTATATCCGTTCATAGCCATCGATATTAACCATGAGATCGCAGTGTTTCAATCCGACGGTCCATCTTCCAACTTCCCAAGAACCTTTTGCTTACGAGCGGGGGGGGGGGGGGGGGGGGGATGGGAGAGGTCGGGAATGTGGTTGGAAGGGGAAGGAAGGTTTTTTTCTCCCATGTTTTTTTTTTTCTCGAACAGGAAGGGCAAGGAAGGTGTTAGTTCGTGCCATCAAGGTGCGACAGATTCCACTGAGTCTCTCTGCACTGTGAAATGATGCTGAACATAAGCCCGTTCAGTTTTGGTAGTTGTGATGGCTGCCTAATGCGTCAGAAAGTGAAGGTAATTGTATCATTACCTGACCGCCTGTTTGTCCAGACCGAAGCCTGGAACAATGCTGAGGCAGAATTCGCCAGGGATGCGAAGTCCGCGATGTCTGACGATGCCTGAAACAGGGTGGCAAGATCGCTGATATCGCAGCCAATATGAAAACCTTCGTCTGCAGGGTTTTGTCACTCGTGTTGCCCCCAACGAATGAGAGCTCGTAGAAGATCACGACTTACGCGAAACTGTCAGGCCCAACCAGCTGGAAGCCATTGACTGAGGTGCTGGAGCAGGGGATGGCACGATGACTCAGCAGGAGTTCAGTTGCTGCTAGTGGTGCAAATTGACTGACGTGCCTTTGTTATGGGGTTGCCCGTGAATGACGCAAGTTGTTGTCGCAAAACAAATGAGCGCGCAAAATTCGTCTCTACTTCGCCACCAAACTTTGATCCAGCGAAGTGCTGCACAGTTACACAGTTTCTGAAGAAAAAAAAAAGAAAAAAAACAAACAAACAAAAACAAAAACAAACAAACAAGCAAACATAAGTCTTAAAGCTTTCAGTAGTACAATCTTGATGCGGATCTCCCTGCATTTGTGCCTCAAGATTCTCAGGGTCACCTAACCAGTGTGCCAGAGAAATTGCAGACGAACGACCAGGAGGAATCAATGCGTCAATTGTTTGTGCGTAATATAACTGCAGGTGGAGTTGGCCAAGCAAGCGTTCATTCCTAAGAGTCTCCAGCTCCAGCACCAGCTTCGCCAGTGAGGGGCAACCGGGTGGAGACTTGCGGGCGGTGCAGGAGAGCGCGAGGTGAAGAAGTCACACGTTTGTTACTCACTCCTAGACAAGAGAAGGCTGCGCGGCCAAGCATTCATTCCTGAGAGTCTCCAGCTCCAAGACAAGCTTCATCATGGAGGGGCGGGAGGCCAGCGACATGGCGGTGCAGGAGAGGGCGAGGTGGAGGAGTCGCACGGCAATGGGCTGAGGCATGGCGAGGCGCGGGTCGATCACCTCTAGGGAGTCGGTGCTTGCCTGCAGCTCATGTGGTGCCTGGAGGTGCAGGGAGGGCATAGAGGGAGGAAGAGAGTAAGGGAAGAAAGGGATTGAGGTGAAGTCGCAGGGACGGAAGGAGGGAGGAAAGGGGGAGGAAGGGACGAAAGAGAGATAGAGCGAACGACCACCTAGGCGTTAGAGCAGTTGGTGGAGAGGCAGTTGGTGAAGGAAGGGAGTTGAGTGGGTGGACAAGCAATTGGTGAAGCGGGGTTATGTCAACTTGGGGAGATGGGAGTGACAAGGAAGGCGTGCACTGTGCTGTGTGTGTGCGTGCATGCGAATGCAGGTATAGACGAGGAGAAAGAGGGACACGAAGATGAGGCGATTTTTGAGTCGACTCAAAAATCGACTCATTACACACGGATTATACACTGAGAGAATTTTTGTCGCATGGAAGGCTGGGCGTAACTTGCAAAAGTTACTTGTTCGCGCGAGGCTCCCTGAGCACCAGCTGACGAGATGTGGGTTACCCACGACACGTCCCGAGGAATGAAGACCTGGCACCTTGGAACTTTCCAGGGTGTTTTGGATTGGCTGACCAGATTTCAGTCGCGGTTGTTCCAACCTTGAAGTTGTTTTTCTCGTAGCGCAGTTTCTGTTTAAGAGCTCGCTTGTAAACTCACTTTTATAATTCCACCAGCACTGATGAAGGTCTGATTTGGGGCCTGTCCCAGTCAGCCGAAACTAGTTTGCGTTTTAATCTTCTAGTGGAGTTGAGTTCGGAGTTTCAAATTCTCGGTTTTTGAACAAGGGTATCTTTTTAAACTGTCACTCTTTTGCTAAAGTTTTTCCTCTCCGCTGCTGCCCACCCTAACGCTTAATGGCTACAAGTTCATTGGGTTTCCCAATTTCTTTGGGTGACGCCGGCGAAGAAGATACGAGTTTCGCACTGATTCCACGCGGAGCGGACCACTCCTCCAAGACCTACGCAGGTTACAAGCGTTCCCGCACTGGCAAAGGAGTTGGAAATTCTGCATCGATTCGCGAGGAAGACAAGCAAGACAAGCAATCTGAGGATTCTCCCGACATGGCCGACATGGACGTCCAGAAAGATGGCAAGCCTGTGGATCAGGCTTCTGTCAACCCGACTGCCGATCGCGTGTCTCACATTCCGGAGCCTTTCAAAGGCTGGACGGCGGCGGCGGTCAAGGGCTTCAGGACGGACTTCAAGGCACTCCTCAAGGCGAGGTCTAAACTGAAGAAGATGAAGGCCCTCCACGAGCAAGGTGTGATTCTGCACAGCCTTCGCACCAAGGTCGCGGAGTTCCAGACCAAGTACCCTCTGACGCGGGAAAATTCGGCTGCATCGGTCGCCTTGGTTCATCTCGAGAACCAGAAGCGCATTCAGGAGGATTTCATCAAGTCCAAGGAGGCGGAGGTTGAGGAAATTCAGTCAGCATCCGCCTCTCACGTGGCAGTTCTGGCGGCCAACCTCGAAGACTACATACAAGGCTTTAGCTCCGACCCTGAGCTCACCGTATCTGATGCGGCTAAAGAGCGCTTCCGGAAGATCAAAGCGTCGTGCATCGAGCAGGCCAAGTCTGAGATCGTCACCGCCAAGGATGAGATTGTCATCCAGGAACTGCACAAGCAGAAGGCACGTGAAGCTGAAGAGTTGAAGAAAGCTGCTGCTGCTGAAGAGATGGAGAAAATGGAAACGGCTCCGGTACTCGATGAACTCGTGCTGAAAGCTACTAAGCGGCAAGTCGAGGCGATGCGCAAGGAAGTTGTGGCGAGCGTTACGGCGAACGTCACTGCGAGCGTCGAGGCGAAGCTGACTGCGAAGTTTCAGAAGAGTTTGTCGATGGGATCGCAGGATCCTAAACCGGCCCCCTCGTCTTCGAAGCCCAAGGCGGACCCGTCCAAGAACCCGAAGAGTAACTCTTCTGGGAACAAGGCAGATGTACCGAAGGCTCCGAAGAAGCGAGGGAAAGGCAAGAAGAAAACGAAGTCTCCAGGCGGCAGCGGAGGGAAAGGCCAACAATCTTCCTCAACTACGGCCCAAGTTCCAAAAAACGGCGGCGGCGGCCCAGGAAAAGGGCCGCGCAAGAACTAACTGCACGAGATCTCGCACTCCGCCGATTCGGACGACTGACTTTACGGCAGCTGCAGTCACGCGTTCGGAACCGGGGGGTACACAACCTGAGCTCTAAGGTTTTATCTCACGACGAAACCAAAGCACTCGGGATGGGACTCAAATTCGTACCTACGCCGCCATGGAATTTTTCCATCGAAGCAGATCTGGATCAACTGCATCGACGGATCTCCCTCAGTTTTTTCTTCAAGGATCAAGGGTCTTCAGCCTCATCACGTTTCCGGGTGAAGAATCCAAGCTGGAGACCCGAGCGGGACGTGGTCCCGGAGCATGTCTTCAAGGAGGCGCGAGCCGACCTATCTTTCCTGCTGAAAGCGTGTAAGCCGTCACGGGGACTCAACCTTTCACGAGGAGTCCGCACGGCTTTACGCTCCTTATCGCTCGACAGCGACATCGTCATCAAACCTGCTGATAAAAACGTCGGAGTAACTGTGATGGACCGCGCGCACTACGTCGCTCTCTGCATGGAGCATCTTGACGACGCGACAGTGTACCAGCCGGTTCGTCATGACCCAACTCCTTCTGTTCTACAGCAACTGGTGGAGCTGAAGGCGACGTGGGGACCTGCTTTTCCTGACAGTCTTTGGAAATACTTTTTCGATCGACCGCCAGGAGGTTGGCGACCAGCGGCATTTTATATCCTGCCGAAGCTCCACAAGAAAGTACCCGTGGGACGACCGATCGCCGCCTCACATTCCTGGGTCACGACTAATGTGAGCCGATGGCTGGATTCTCAACTACGACCGCTAGTACTCAAACAACCGACCTACCTGCGCGACTCCCTCTCTTTGTTAACAAAGCTAGAAGCTACGGTTTTTCCACCGACTGTACTTCTGGCCACCTACGATGTCACCTCGCTCTACCCAAGCATCTCCATCGATCGAGGGCTCGAAGCAGTTAGCAATTTTCTTGTGAGGGCACCAACACAGCTCGCTCAACCGCTCATGGCTTTCTTGGGATGGGTCATGAGGAATTCTTTCGTGGAATTCGACGGCAGGATTTTTCATCAAGTACAAGGCACTGCGATGGGAACTCCAGTCGCAGTCTGCTTTGCGGTCCTCTTCATGAGCCGTCTCGACGAGCTACTCAAGGAGAGGTGAACCGGGATATCACCAAGTTACCACGTCCGTTACATCGACGATGGCCTTATCATTTGGCCAGGCTCGCGGGCAGACCTGGAGGAGTACCTGCGAACTTTCAACGGCTTGGATCCTTCCATCAGGATCACGTGGAATATCTCGGAGCACTCCGTTGATTTTCTGGATGTTGTCCTTCACAAAGGGCAGCGTTTCAAGGAGTGCAGTCGTCTTGACCTCGGCACTGTTCAGAAGCCGATGAACAGATACCTCTACCTTCCCTTCTCCTCTTTCCACCCCCGGCACTGCAAGGAAGGTTTCATACGCGCCGAACTACAGCGTTACCTACTGCGTTCGACCTCCATGCGCACTTTTCTTGCAACGAAGCACGCTTTCTTCCAGCGGCTTCGTGACCGAGGTTACCCCCCTGCTTTCCTTCAACCGATCTTCAAGGGCGTCCTTTTCGCGCAACGCGCAACACTACTCGCCAACACTCTCGCGAACCAGCAACTTCGTCGACATTCTCTCCCCTCATCACGTGGACCCCTAGTTCTGAAGACGACCTACACACCTGTGTCGGCCCGTCTCAAACTAGGGGTCGTTTTGAGTCGACTCAAAAATCGACTCATTACACACGGATTATACACTGAGAGAATTTTTGTCGCATGGAAGGCTGGGCGTAACTTGCAAAAGTTACTTGTTCGCGCGAGGCTCCCTGAGCACCAGCTGACGAGATGTGGGTTACCCACGACACGTCCCGAGGAATGAAGACCTGGCACCTTGGAACTTTCCAGGGTGTTTTGGATTGGCTGACCAGATTTCAGTCGCGGTTGTTCCAACCCTGAAGTTGTTTTTCTCGTAGCGCAGTTTCTGTTTAAGAGCTCGCTTGTAAACTCACTTTTATAATTCCACCAGCACTGATGAAGGTCTGATTTGGGGCCTGTCCCAGTCAGCCGAAACTAGTTGCGTTTTAATCTTCTAGTGGAGTTGAGTTCGGAGTTTCAAATTCTCGGTTTTTGAACAGGGGTATCTTTTTAAACTGTCACTCTTTTGCTAAAGTTTTTCCTCTCCGCTGCTGCCCACCCTAACGCTTAATGGCTACAAGTGTGTGCATGCATGCGAATGCAGGTATAGACGAGGAGAAAGAGGGACACGAAGATGAGGAGGACGAGGGGAAGCTGCCCTCTCCCCTCATTCAATCATAAGCTCCAAGAACATGTATCCTGAGGAGAGGCAGTTGAACTGTGACAGTTGGAGAGGATGCATGTACTTGAATGGCTTGGCACCTAGCAAAGGCAACAAATTTGATTCTCCTGGGTGAGAGTACCGAGAGAAGATGGAAGGGAGAGGCAGTGGAGCATACCTCGAGTGGAGCTTCGGTGGAAGAGTCCTCCAGACTCGCACTGCTGTGCAGCTGCTGGGATACCTGCATGTGGAGCGGTTTGAACACGATTTGGAGGGGTGGAGGGGTTTGAGTTGCCGCAAAACAATGCATTAAGGCCAGGGAGAGTGCTGGTTGAGGCAAGAAGACAACGATTCTGGAATGGGAGAGTTGAGCCTGAGAACTTGCACAGTAGAAAGCAGGCTATGCTTGAACGAGGGGAGAGGGCCAGTGATACAAGGGAAGGCACAGTGGAGAGGCATGTGGGACAGCAAAAGGAGCGACATATGCCTGGTGTGTCAAGAGTGGCGGGCCAACACCAGAGGAACCCTCCCACCCAACACCAATGAAACCCCCAAACAGCACCAATGGAACCCCACCACCCAACACCAATAAAACCCCCAAACAGCACCAATGAAACCCCCAAACAGCACCATTGAAACCCCACCACCCAACACCAATGAAACCCCCGTAACCAGCACCAGTGCAACCCACTCAGTCAACACCAGTGCGAACCACCCGGTCAACGCCAGTGAACCCACCCAGTCAACGCCAGTGAACCCACCCAGTCAACGCCAGTGAACCCACCCAGTCAACGCCAGTGAACCCACCCAGTCAACGCCAGTGAACCCACCCAGTCAACGCCAGTGAACCCACCTAGACCCACCCATTCCTGGAGGTGAATGGGTTGATTGTCGACAATCAAGGGATCACCTGGCAACATACCCACCAGTGGGGCTACCCACAGTGCGAGCCACTCAGCCAGCACCACTGGGACCCACCCAGAAAACACCATCCCCATCAACACAAGCACGCCAGTTAGTCCTTCCCAACCCACACCAAACCCACCCAGTCGCAGAAATGAGTGGGTCGGTTGTTGACAGTCGAGGGGCTACCAGGCTGCATGCCCACACCATTCAGACCAACTCATGCCACGCTAATGGAACCCACCCAGTCGCGGAGGTGAATCGGTTGGTTGTTGACAGAAAGAACGGCCTTCTTGCACGTGATGAGCTCCAGAATGAGAATACCAAAGCTGTGTGCGGGCGTGGGGAAGAGGGAAGAGCGTGGGGAAGAGGGAGGAGCGTGGGGAAGAGGGAGGAGCGTGGGGACGAGGGAGGAGCGTGGGGACGAGGAACAATGCATGTGGTGAGCTGCAGCATGCGAATGCCAAAGCTGTGAGTGGGAGAATTCGAGAGCAGTGCATGGGGGAAAGAGAGGGAGCGACATGGACCAGAGCCAACAGCAGCCCATGTGAGCAACGATTAGGGGCACACACCAGATGTGTTGCCCATCGGGCAAACGCGAAGGCAGAAACACATACGTCTGTTGCATCAAAAGCAGTAACACATGCATCGCCAAGCTGTTCACTTCAGCTTCTGTTGTGACAAAGTCGCGCGCTTGAGTGTATGTCTGCGTGTGACTCATCTCAAATGCACAATTAGCACCCACCTGTACACATCAGATGCTGTGGTGGCCTTGCGTGTTTGGGCGTAGGTGGGGTCGACATAGCCCGGTGTTCCCATGACTCGAGTTGACTTGAGTGTGCTGCTCTCACTCATCCTCAGCAGACCAAAGTCCGACAGCTTGGCCTGATAACAAGTGCACGACGAAGACACGGGGTCATGCAGACATGGGGGTCATGCAGACATGGGGGTCATGCAGACATGGGGGTCATGCAGACATGGGGGTCATGCAGACATGGGGGTCATTGACTTCAGCTACTCCTGTTGACTTCAACCTCTTGAGGTTGCTAGACAGCTTCGCCTTCCATGATGCAAAGAAAGCAACACACAGGTAGTTCAACGCCTATCGAGTTGGTGCTGCCGCTCCCACTCATCCTCAACAGCCCGAAGTCCGATAGCCTGGCCCGGCCCGTATTAGGGGGGTTAGGGAGAGTGGACGTTGCACGGAATAGATGGCTGTTGGATGGACCTCAAGCGTCCAAGCATCCATATGGAAGATCGTATTCAACGGTGCACCCACTTGCAGAACGGTGCAAAACACCCGTCCGAACATTCTTAGAAGGCAGCAAGAACATGGAAGGGAGAGAGCAAGAGCAAAAACATCCCCCATCGGTGGGTTCATGGAAGGGAGAGAGCAAGAAAAGGCAGCACCCTCCCACCTGCATGCTCTTATCCAGCAGAATGTTCCCCGGCTTGATGTCGCGATGCACGATGCCAAAGCCATGCAGGTACGCCAGGCCCTGCGCCACGGACAGCAGCGTTTCCAGCAGCTGGGTTGCCGTCAGGTGCTTGCCGCCTGGTGGTGGTGGGGGAGGAAGAGAAGAATGGACGGTCACACATGACGCCCTCGAGAAATAGCTGTCTTTCATTGAGGTGCCAAAGCCATGCAGATACGCCAGGCAGGCCCTGAGCTACGGAAAGCAGCATGCAGAGCAGTTCACTCGCTGTCAGGTGCTTTCTGCCTGATGGTGGGAATGGAAAGGACGCTAGTGGGGGGCCATAGGTGATTAGCTGTCTTGTGTTGAGGTATGGAGGAGAGCCAAGCTGACAGTAAGCTACTCGGAGGCCCCGAGCCACTGAGAGGAGTGTGCCGAGTAACTTGCTGTCAGTTAAGCCAAGCGCTAAGCTGCGGACAGCAGCGTGTCAAGGAGTGGCTTACTTTCCAGTGCTGGCCGCCTGGTGAGGAAAGAGGGGAGAGCGATGGTCGAGCGACGGGAGAGTGATGGGCGGGCAAGGGGCGAGAGAGGAGGATGAAGGGTTGGTACGGATGGAGGCACAAGTCGCGCGGTTGGTACAGGCCGTGTATGCGCCTGCTGCAGAAAGCGGTAGGACGTGTAGCTAGTCGAAGAATGATTCCTCTCCTCACCTGGTCGGGTCCACTGTGAGAGGTCCCCATTGTCCATGAACTCGTAGATCACGATCTGCTCCATCCGCTGCGTGCGCGGGTTGTAGTCGTGGCAGAAGCCTAACAGGCGCACCAGGCAGGGGTGGTTCTTGCTCGCCATGTGCTCCACCTGTGGTCAGGGACAGAGGGGAGAGCCAGGGAGATTGTTGAGACAGTGGGCGGGGAGTGACAAGAAGAGTGAGAGAGAAGGAGAGTAGTGAGTGCTCCATAGAGCCGAGGTACTGCTGGAGCTGTCTTGCATTGCAGCCAATTACTGTCCCGTCACACAAGGAGTCAACTGTGACTCAAGGCGCTTCTCATCACTACCTCCTGCAGGAAGTCGTTTGTGAGAACCCTTGCTCGCTTGACAGCCCAGAAGACGCTCGTGTCGTACGGCGACGCCCCCTTGAACACGTCCCCAAAGCCCCCCGTGCCCACACGGTTCCTCTCCCCCCAGTCCGCCGTGGCCCGCCGCACATCCTCTATCGAGTACTGCTGGCACTCCAGGGGCTCCTCGCCCTCCCCCACTGCCACCGTGAAGGGCGATGGGCCTGGGAACGAGTGGAGGAGGGGGGGAGGGGAGAGGAGATGAGGGGAATGGGCCTGTAAACGAGTGGGGGATGGGCCTGTGAACGAGTGGGGGAGAGGGAGAAAGCTGAGGTGAGGCGAGGGAAGATGGGGAGAGGACACTGAGCTTGCTCTCCGCCCAGTCCGCCATGGCCCGTCACACAACCTCTATCGAGTACGGGTGGGAGAATGGCTCCTCGCCCTCCCCCACTGCCATGTGAAGGGCGATGGGCGTGTGGGTCCTCCGGGAACGAAAGGAGTGGATGCGGCGTGGGAGTGATGGATTATGCTATCGAGCGCTGCTGGCACGCCAGGGACCTTCCTCGCCTTCGCCCAGTGCCAGAATGAAGAGGGGTGGGCCTGAGAGGCGGGCGTGGGGAGGGGATGATGGTGGAGTGGTGGGATAAGGGGGGAGATCTTAGGAGTGGTGTGCAGGAAGGAGACGGAAATGAGGAATCAGATTCAGGGGCTTGTTGATTGAATGCTGACTGCTGGCTGTTGGAATGTTATACAGTCAAGCAGTAGGAGCATGTGGGTAGTGGGGGAGCGGTTCATGTGCCCCTACTCTCGTAAGATATGCCATCATTTTCCATCCACCCACCTTGCGCCACTCTCTGCTGCTTCTTTGTCCACCACCCCATCAGCACCCCAGCAGCCCCCCCAACAGGCAGCAGTAGCAGCAGCAGCAGCAGAAGCAGCAGCAGCAGCAGCGACGCCTGCCACAGTGACATTGACAATGACTCCATGCATTCCTATGGGCTTTTGAGGCGCCTCAAAATGCATTCCTATGGGCTTTTGAGGCGCCTCAAAATGCATTCCTATGGGCTTTTGAGGCGCCTCAAAATGCATTCCTATGGGCTTTTGAGGCGCCTCAAAATGCATTCCTATGGGCTTTTGAGGCGCCTCAAAATGCATTCCTATGGGCTTTTGAGGCGCCTCAAGATGCATTCCTATGGCCCACCCACCCTCCCACCCACCTGACTGCTCTCTCTGCTGCCTCTTCCTCCACCACCCCAGCAGCGCCCCTAGCAGCAGCAAGCGAAAACTGCCAGAGTCACACTAATAATGACTCCTCTATGCGCTGCCATGGGCCACCCACCCACCTGAATGCTCTTTCTGCTGCCTCTTCCTCCACCACCACCACAGCACCAACCCAAGCAGCAGCAGAGCCGCAACCACTCCCACCGTCACACCCACTATGACCCCTACGGACGGAGAGGAGGACGTGCTGCCGGGAGGTTGCGAGGGGGTGGTGGGCGGGGGAGGGGCTGGAGGGGGGCGCACAAGGGGATGAGGGCGCAGGAGGAGAAACGAGCGCAGGGGGAAGATGAAGAAACGGAGGGGACGGTTTTTGAGGCGTCTCAGACCCTTTTGCCAGTTGCCAGACCAAACGGGATTGCATGGTTGCAGCACCAGCTATGCAAACAGCACCTGGGCGGCAGGTAAAGATTCTAGAGACGCCTAAAAGAGGATTGGAATTCTAAAACTTGTCATATGCGTGCCGCAGCTGGCGAAAGATGCTATGGATGCAGCACCTGGCAGGCAGGTGGAGCAGAGGTCGGAGCATTCCCGGCAGAAGGCTGAGTTGGGTGAGACGGTTGAGGCGTTGAGGAGAGCGCACACACTGCTGCTGCTGCTGCTGCTGCTGCATGTCATCCTGCTGCTCCTCACGCTGCCAGTTTTGAGACAGTAGCCGAGGCAGATCGGATGATGGGGACTATCAATATGATTGAAGATCGCACAGATGCAGAGACTGACACTTCTTGAGCCTTCTAAAAAAACAAATTCCCGTGCGAAACTGAGGACGCGAGGAAAGCAGTTGATAGGACTGAGAAGTAACGTGTGCCGGCGTTGGAGAAGCGAGCAGCTGACAATGTGAGGGTGTATGAGAGAGCTCCAAAAGGGGTGTGACTGGCACTGCGAGGGGAGAGAGCTCTAACAGGGGTGTGACTGACAATGTGAGCAGGTCAGAGAGGGTGCCGAGGAAAGCCGGCACGGAGCCACCGATTTCCGTGTTGCTGATGTCCCTGGACATGACAGCGGGGGGGGGGGGGAGAGGAGGGGAGAGACAGGGAGTGTGGGGATTGCAGGAATTGTGAGGATAAAGTTAAGGTGGCACAGAGCCACTGATGGCCGTGTTGCTGATGTCCCTGCGTGGTGGGGGGTGTGGAGGACAGGGGAAAGGAGGATAAACGAGAGGTTAGGGAATGGGATGGGAGGGGAGGGAGAGATCCGAGGAGGGGAGAGTGTGAGAAAAAAAGCAGAGGAGAGAGAGCAGAGCAGGTGTGCTGTACCACCAGCAGAGCGGGTGAGGTGTACCATCAGCAGAGCAGGTGAGGTGTACAATCAACCACCAGCAGAACGATGGATGGGTCACCAACACTGTGACGTGAGAGAGATGCCTTAGGCCAGACTGGGCGATGCCATGTCTGACTGTGCCTCGCAGCTTACAGCATGGTGAGTTGAGTGAGACGGCTGAGGCTGAGAGGCAGAGAGCCATTGAGCTGAGTTGACCCGAGCTTGCTGGTGGAAGGTAAGGGAAAATCATGATTGGTTCGGTTAGTCGTGACATCAGCATGAGTATTCTGATCGATGCACCGCGTCAAAGTTATGGAGGGAGGGAAACAGAAAACAAAACACTAATTAGCAGCAACAAGCAGTAATAAACAGCACAAACAAGAGCTGCTCAGTGGAGGCACATGCTCACAGCGAAACAAGGGATGTGAGGTTGCCCAGTTGCTCTGGTATGCTGCTGGTGAGCCCCTCGTTAGTGGCCAGGTCTCTTCATGTGGCTCACAGGGGAAGGAGAAGAAAGAAGGATGGCAAGGAGGGGAAAGGAAGAGAATATCATGAGACGGACGGTGAAAATTGAAGAAGTGGAAAGAGGAAGGGATCGAGGATGCAAGGCAGGCTGTGAAGGAAGCAATGAGGGAAGCAATGAGGGAAGCAATGAGGGAAGCAATGAGGGAAGCAATGAGGGAAGCAATGAGAGAATCGAATGAAATCGCAGGAAAGAGAAAAAGAGGCGGCAGAAGCAGATGATTGCTGCTAACCACTTTCAAAGCAGCATCCAGTGGCCAAGGGGAGCAAAGGATAAGGTGAGCAAACACATGATCGAGGACGGAAGAGGGGGGGGGGGGGGGGAGGGGAAGGAGGAGTGACAAGAGTAGAGGAGGAAGGGGGAACGCACAAGGTGGTGAGGCTGGTGAGGGCGGAGAGATGAGTCTAGTGCGGAGGGGCCTGTGAGATGAGTCTAGTGCGGAGGGGCCTGTGAGATGAGTCTAGTGCGGAGGGGCCTGTGAGATGAGTCTAGTGCGGAGGGGCCTGTGAGATGAGTCTAGTGCGGAGGGGCCTGTGAGATGAGTCTAGTGCGGAGGGGCCTGTGAGATGAGTCTAGTGCGGAGGGGCCTGTGAAATGAGTCTAGTGCGGAGGGGCCTGTGAGATGAGTCTAGTGCGGAGGGGCCTGTGAGATGAGTCTAGTGCGGAGGGGCCTGTGAGATGAGTCTAGTGCGGAGGGGCCTGTGAGATGAGTCTAGTGCGGAGGGGCCTGTGAGATGAGTCTAGTGCGGAGGGGCCTGTGAGATGAGTCTAGTGCGGAGGGGCCTGTGAGATGAGTCTAGTGCGGAGGGGCCTGTGAGATGAGTCTAGTGCGGAGGGGCCTGTGAGATGAGTCTAGTGCGGAGGGGCCTGTGAGATGAGTCTAGTGCGGAGGGGCCTGTGAGATGAGTCTAGTGTGGAGGGGCCTGTGAGATGAGTCTAGTGCGGAGGGGCCTGTGAGATGAGTCTAGTGCGGAGGGGCCTGTGAGATGAGTCTAGTGCGGAGGGGCCTGTGAGATGAGTCTAGTGCGGAGGGGCCTGTGAGATGAGTCTAGTGCGGAGGGGCCTGTGAGATGAGTCTAGTGCGGAGGGGCCTGTGAGATGAGTCTAGTGCGGAGGGGCCTGTGAGATGAGTCTAGTGCGGAGGGGCCTGTGAGATGAGTCTAGTGCGGAGGGGCCTGTGAGATGAGTCTAGTGCGGAGGGGCCTGTGAGATGAGTCTAGTGCGGAGGGGCCTGTGAGATGAGTCTAGTGCGGAGGGGCCTGTGAGATGAGTCTAGTGCGGAGGGGCCTGTGAGATGAGTCTAGTGCGGAGGGGCCTGTGAGATGAGTCTAGTGCGGAGGGGCCTGTGAGATGAGTCTAGTGCGGAGGGGCCTGTGAGATGAGTCTAGTGCGGAGGGGCCTGTGAGATGAGTCTAGTGCGGAGGGGCCTGTGAGATGAGTCTAGTGCGGAGGGGCCTGTGAGATGAGTCTAGTGCGGAGGGGCCTGTGAGATGAGTCTAGTGCGGAGGGGCCTGTGAGATGAGTCTAGTGCGGAGGGGCCTGTGAGATGAGTCTAGTGCGGAGGGGCCTTGGCAGATGAAGCAAGGAAGAACGCACAAGGAGGTGAGGCCAGTGAGGGCGGAGAGCTGAGGAGGTATCGGCCCTGTGAAACGGTTGCTGCTCAAATCCCTGTTTACAAGATGGATGGGAGGAAGAACGTTGGGGACAGGTGGGAGGAACGAAGTTGGGGAAAGGTGGGAGGAATGAGGCAGTGGAGGAAAGTGAGATGTGGTTGAAGGGGAATCATCATAGAAACGAGGAAGAGTTGAGCTGACTCACGGAAGCAGGGTGCAGAAGGAAGAAAGACGAGATGATACGGACCATCAAACGAGAAATCCTGCGGCCTCAAGCCCTGGCTAGCACGAATGCCAGGGAAACGGAGTGGAGCTTATAGGAGAAAAAGGACCTTGGCTTACAGGAGTGAATGGTCCGTGGCTTACAGGAGTGAAAGGTCCTTGGCTTACAGGAGTGAAAGGTCCGTGGCTTACAGAAGTGAAAGGTCCGTTGCTTACAGGAGTGAAAGGTCCGTGGCTTACAGGAGTGAAAGGTCCGTGGCTTACAGGAGTGAAAGGTCCGTGGCTTACAGGAGTGAAAGGCCGTTGGCTTGGGCGATGAAAGGTGGAATGGGTCCCGCGAGATTGTTGCCCCGCAGAGAGCTGGTGGTGGGGTAGAGGGGGAGACAAGAATAGGAGACAGGAGAGAGCGTCATGATGATATAAAAGGGACAAGCACACTAGATCGGCCAGCAAACAGCGTTGTTGTGAGGTGCCTCAGGGAAAGGCAGGTTGGGGCTCGAGAGATTGCTGCTGCGCACAGTGCTGTTGATGGGGTGGAGGGGGAGAGAGAGGGAGGTGGGAAGATTGAGGTTGTGGGGAATCAGACAGACAGGGGACGAGAGAGGTGGGAGGGAGGGGGCGAGGGGCGTACAGATGAAAGAACACTCAGCGGAGGGGTTGGAATGGGATGGGATGGGAAGGGAGAGATGTCATGGCATGGCATGCTCTAAGTGCATTTAATACTGTGGCCAACACACTTTCCGGGTTGACGGTCTGCCTCACCGCGCTCTGAGGTGCACTGTCTGGCTCACAGCGATCTGAGGTGCACTGTCTGGCTCACAGCGATCTGAGGTTCACGAGGCTGCTGAAGCTGCTGGGAATGGCTCCTGTGAACGCGTTTCTGCTCAGGTCCCTGCCACCCATGGCGCACGTGGCATACACGCATGTTATGTCACTTGAGTCGTTCTTCCCCTGCCCCCATGCATGATACACAACACACAATGTGTGGTGCACGATTCTTGCTGCATGATGCATGGTGCGTGGTGCATGGTGCATGACACATGGCACATGGCAGATGCTGCATGGTTCATGGTGCATGGAGCATGGCGTACAGGTATTGCAGGCTGACTAAGGTCCCAAGGAAGTAAGGGACGGGGCCTGAGAGTTGGTTGGTTCGAGCTCAAGTCCCTGGAGACAAAGGGGGAGTCTACTTGGGGAGCTTGAAAAGGGCAGAGACAACATGTATGGAGAGGCATGATACGATTGATGCGGTTCATTGGTGCACGGAGTGTGATGCATGGCATGTGATGCATGGCATGTAATGTGATGCATGTGGCATGTGATGCATGGCACAACTCACAGGCGTGTGAGGTAAGTGAAGTGACTCATGGCGGATGGGATGCCTCCACTCAGATGCTGCGATGGAAGCTTCCTGCACGGTGGCATGGTGACATGATGGAATGATGATGGCATGATGGTTTGGTGATTCGTGAAGGCATGGTGCTGTATTGAGGGTGTGGCATCACAGTTCAATTACACTCTCATGCATGCGATACCACAGACTCACATGCATCCATGCACCAGACTCACATGCATGCATGCACCACAGGCTAACATGCACGCATGCATCACAGACTCACATGGATGCATGCACCAGACTCACATACATGCATGCACCACAGGCTCACATGCATGCATGCACCACAGCACTCACATACATGCATGCACCACAGCACTCACATGCATGCATGCACCACAGCACTCACATGCATGCATGCACCACAGCACTCACATGCATGCATGCACCACAGCACTCACATGCATCCATGCACCACAGCACTCACATGCATCCATGCACCACAGCACTCACATGCATGCATGCACCACAGCACTCACATGCATCCATGCACCACAGCACTCACATGCATCCATGCACCACAGCACTCACATGCATGCATGCACCACAGCACTCACATGCATCCATGCACCACAGCACTCACATGCATCCATGCACCATAGCACTCACATGCATGCATGCACCACAGCACTCACATGCATGCATGCACCACAGCACTCACATGCATCCATGCACCACAGCACTCACATGCATGCATGCACCACAGCACTCACATGCATGCATGCACCACAGCACTCACATGGAATCGATGCGCCCCGACACGTCCTTGCATGTCAGCCCCCATGCGCTCTCACAGCCCCCCTCTGGCTGCCACCCCGAAAACTGCTTGCCCCATGCACGCATCACCTCTGTGAGCCACTTCACTGGCGGGGGAACGGATGGGGGAAGAGAGGAAGGAGGAAGCTGTCTTGAGAAGACGGGGGGTTGTAGACAAAGCAGTGCAGCCGCCACCCCGGAGACTGCGTGCCCCATGCTCTCATCCCCTCTCGGAGCCATCGCACGGGGGTTAGGGGGAGAAGGGCAGCTGAGAGGGGTTTGGTTTGAGTAGGCATTCCTGGCCTTGGAGCAAATAGCGTGTGAACAAGTGTGTTCGTCGCAAAACTTCTTCTTCTTTTGGGAGTGCAATTCCGCTTCCGAACTAGCTGCAATCGCCACGTAGTGATGTGTCGCAAATGTATTTTGAAACTCGCGACCAATGGCACTTCGTGTTAGCGCCCTTCGGCGAGATGCGGCGTTGCAGGCAAACTACCGACAGTCTGCGCCGCAAATCGTCAATCGCTGGTCCTGTGTACCAAAGTGAACTGTCTCCCCTCGCTTTCTCCATTTCCCCCCCACTCTCCACATCCGCACTTCCGTCACAGCGCACCGTCACAACGAATCCCCGTCCTCTAAGCCCCTCCCCCTAACCTCCCCTCTCCCCTCCCCATCCCCCTTCCCCTCCCAGTCCCTGCCCTTTCCTCTTCCACCCTCCCCTCCCCTCCCCCTTCCCCCTCCCCTCCCCTCCTCCCCCTCTCCCCTCCCCCTTCCCCCTCCCCTCCCCTCCTCCCCTCTCCCCTCCCCCCCGGTCAAGACAGCTCACCATCAGCCTCGTGTATTCTCGCCTCCGCTTTCGCCACCAACACCCCGCCCCCGCGGCGGACGCCGCCGTTCGTTGGCGGTGTGTGATGGAGTGCGAGGAGCACGGCGGCGAGGAGGACACCGGCTGGGACTCGCACGTCGCGCGCGCGCCGTGGGGGAAGCGCGGCGACGAGGACGGCTGCCGCCCACGGCGCCGCGCCGTGGAACTCCGGGATTCGCGCCGACGGCATGGACGTGGTGGAATGATAGTAGTCTAGTAGTGGCTTCGGATGGGATTCATGGAAGCTGGTACTTTAATGCGGAAAAGAATAACAGTATGTGACCCCCTTTCCTTATATCATATTTTCCTATAAGATCTTCTACACTGACACAGAGTATTCCTTATGATAGTAGTCGCGACACAGAGTTGCTGTGACGTACTAACTGAGTCGTTTCAGCGCGTCGCGTGAGTTGAAAGCGCCCGCCGAGCAGCTAAACTCTAGGAGGAGCCTCGTAATTCTACTAGAGTGCGAGTACTACTCAAGGGTACAGTCTAACGCGTTCCATAGTAGACATTCTTCGCCAAAAATATAGACTTCACCTCGGCTGCATGGAAAAGAGCCTTGGCCACAAGGCAACGCCTGCACTGTGATGTGGTAGAGCTGAGGAGACTACGCCCACCAAGGGGTACAATACGTAATGAATGCGGTACAAATGTAATTAGGGCGTGCTGAGCAAGGCATGTTAGCTCAGAATGCATCTCACCTTCAGCTGCTGTTATTGGACATTGGCGTTCCAAAGCGGTGCAATAGGTCCAACTATGGACAACAGTGTCCGAATCGACCACGAAGAACCACGCTTCACCGTTCCGAAACACCTTGACCACCTCGTTGCGTACCAACACCCCACTCTGGTTCGCAAATGTGAGCTCCAAATCACCGTTTTCGGGAGCGGTGTGAACTGGACAGCTTCGGCCACCGGAATTCCATGCAATAATCGTCTCAGGGCAATTTCCTAACAAGTGTCAGCCCACTTCGGATCAACGATTCGACAGCCAGGATCGGCTCGCGTCAGTACCAAAGCTGAGATGTGTACAATTTTTTGCCGTCAACACATTTGTGTCAGGGGGCTTGGATGGTAACCCTATACACGCAATTTCTCACCCGGCTTCGCCGATTCCGCTTTCTCCTCGGAATCGACGTGCCTGTGTAACTTCCAGCGTCATTCACGGCACGCAATTTTGAGGCAATAATGCTGCGTCAACAACACGGAAGCAGGCCGAGTCAGCTGACCACCATTGGGAGAGTTGGTGTCGCAGCTGAGCTGGCCCCTCGTCTCGGGTTTCTCTCCTGGAACACGGCTGGACTGATGTGGTTCCTCCACCAATGAAAAACAGTCAAGCGACTTGGGTCGAATTCGCCTGACAGTTTCGCCAACGTCAGGACACGACGTCAACGAGTACTTCATTCGTCGAGGCGACCCCTTTCAGGATTCCCATTGGCTGCGACAGATTGATATCTACCTGAAATCCTAACACCGTAACATTTTTCGTCAAGGATCGTGGACCTTGGATCCCTGGAGAAATCTTCATGAAACAGATAACCATGAACCAAAGAACTCCCCTCCCTTCAATTTCCTCCCTTCCCTTCCACTCTGACTTCGAAGGCCCCATGCCTTGTTTCACCAACTGCTGAATCTCCACAACAAACCTGTTTCAAACTTCCAATGATTTCCGGACGAATCCACGGCACATGCGCAAAACTCCGCTGCCTTATTGAGCTACTAGAATTCACGTTCGCGCACCAATCGTTCCGTCCGCACGTTATTGCTACAACAAGTCGCTATCAAAGTCATCGTGGATAACGCGACGTTTCGTGCATCGCCTCTGAGTTCGAGCGTTCATTCTTCCACATCTGCGTCCAACAATTTCCAAGCATTCCTCAGCACACCTAGAGCCACGCCGTGTCTTATGTATTACGTTGTCTCGCTGAAACAGTCGCGCTGTCTCCCGCTAAATCTCTAACCTTGAAGAAACTTACCGCTAAAAGCCTTTTAGAACAGATCCCGAGGCGCGCTTGCTTGGAGAAGCACGTCGAGCATTTTCACTACTAGTAGCTCTTCTCACTCAGCTTCATCATCGCGATGAGTCGCGGATTCACTGATTCCAATTCGACCGCTGTTGCCGCCTCCGCGGACCCACGAGGCCGCTCGCCGCACAGACCGCCGCGAAGCGCGTTGAGTCCTTCCGCTAAGCTGAGGCGGGGCTTGGCGCGCGACGGCGCCCATAGGATGCAGAGTTGTCTCCTTCTCGCGGCGCTCCTGACGCTGCTTTTCCCGAGCCCCCCCGCCGTGGACAGTGCTGCAGGACCCGCCGTACCCATAGACGCGCTACAAGGTGACTCGATTGGAGAAGAGGGTAGGAAATGGGGTATGAGGAAAGGACTAGAATGGAGGCTGAGAGAGAAGGGAACGCCGTGCGCGTGAGGTTGCTTGGACACAGTGCACCGTGGGAAGCAGTAGATTAAGTTGGAGTATTTGAAATGAGTGTCAGACGGTCTCGCTCGTAGAAGGGGCGACATGCCATGTGATGTGATGTGATGTGATGTGATGTGATGTGATGTGATGTGATGTGATGTCATTTCATGCGTGAGAGGATGGGGTGCGATGTGGGATTTGGTGGGATGCGATGGGATGTGGTGTTGGGAAGGGAAGGGTGGGATGGGATGGGATAGGATGTGGCGTGGTGTGGCGTGATGGGATGGGATGGGCTGGGCCGGGATGGGCCGGGATGGGCCGGGATGGGCCGGGATGGGCCGGGATGGGCCGGGATGGGCCGGGATGGGCCGGGATGGGCCGGGATGGGCCGGGATGGGCCGGGATGGGCCGGGATGGGCCGGGATGGGGGTGGGATTCTCGGATGGAATGCCATGCCATGTGATGCTATGCTATGCGACGTGACGTGACGTGACGTGACGTGACGTGACGTGACGTGACGTGACGTGACGTGATGTGACGCGACGTGATCTGACGTGAGATGGCGGGATGTCATGCGATGAGGTGTGATGTGCTGTCATGGGCGGCGCGATGTCATGAGCCGCGATGCGATGTGATTTGTGGTGTGCTCTGCTGCAGTTCATTGCACCCATGCCCACCTCTCATATGCCATCTGTGCCTCCCATGCCACACTCTTGCTGCCCTCTCATGTCTCCGTGTGCTGCACCCCCTTTTCCCCCTCTTATTGAGGGGCCCCTATAGTAGCCTCCTGTGATCGTCTCACGTCTGGAATGCTGTGCCACTCACTTCTTCCCTCCCTCACTTCTCCCCCCCCTCACTTCTTCCCTCACTCACTTCTTCCGACAGGTCAAGTGCTCGCTGAGTGTGTCGGGGCATGGGGAGTGGCGCCTGCAGGGTGGAGCGGAGGGGGGGACTGCAGCCAAGCGCAAGGGCTGACGTGTGACAGCAATGGCATGGTGGTGGCAATGTGAGGCACGGTGGATGCCATGTGAGGCATGGTGGTTTGTCAACTGCCATGGGCCATGAGCTATGGGGCATGGGGCATGGGGCCTGGGGCCTGGGGCATGGGCCATGGGCCATGAGCCATGGGGCATGGGCCATGGGGCGTGTGGCATGCGGCATGGGGCATGGTCCGTGAGCCATGGGGTATCGGCCATGGGGCATGGGGTATGGGGCATGGGGCATGGGGCATGGGGCATGGGCCATGGGGCATGGGCCATTAGCTATGGGGCATGGGCCATGGGCCATGAGCCATGGGGCATGGGCCATGGGCTATGGGGCATGGGGCATGGGGTATGGGGCATGGGGCATGGGGTATGGGACATGGGGCATGGGGCATGGGGCATGGGGCATGGGGCATGGGGCATGGGGCATGGGGCATGGGCCATGGAAAGGCACTCCGGTGAAGCGCTGTTATCTTCTCTTCTCCATTGACATTTATTTGACATGGGATGGTGGATATCATGGGTCGGCATGTCATGGCATGGCGTGTTATGCATCCGCATGGCATGTCTTGGCATGGCATGTCTTGGCATGGCATGTCTCGGCATGGCATGTCTCGGCATGGCATGTCTCGGCATGGCATGTCTCGGCATGGCATGTCTCGGCATGGCATGTCTTGGCATGGCATGCCGTGGGTATGAATGTCATGTGCAGCGATCTGAGCAACACTCCATTGGGCGGCCGCATACCCGAAGAGATTGGCAGCCTCACCTCGCTCACCTTCCTGTGAGCCTCACCTCCCTCACCTTCACCTCCCTCACCTTCACCTCCCTCACCTTCACCTCCCTCACCTTCACCTCCCTCACCTTCACCTCCCTCAACTTCACCTCCCTCACCTTCACCTCCCTCACCTTCCTGTGAGCCTAACCTCCCTCACCACCCTCGCTCTGTTTTAAGCCTCTCTTCTCCACTAAGTCAGCCCTCTTTGGGTTACGCCAGTGCTATTATGCACTGGATTACTCTTCTCATCTCTTCTCCTGTCCTCCCCTGCTCTCCTCCTCTTCCTCTGTCTGTCCCCTGCCTCCCCTGTCTCTTCCCAAAACAGCAACCTCGCTAACTGCTCCCTGAGTGGCTACATTCCCATCTCCTTCAGTGCTCTCACCTCCCTTTCTCTTCTGTAAGCCTTGACTGCCTTCCCCCTCCTTTCACTTTCCTTCTCTCTCTCTTTCTCTCCTTCCCCCCCCCACCCCCCCATCACCCCCCTTCCCCCCTTCTGTCTGTAGCCCACTCACCGCCATTTTCTCCTCAACTGTCTTTCTTCCCCCCCCCCCACCCTCCGCCACACCCTGCGACCACAGAAAGAAAAGTCGCCCGTCAGAGCCTCTCCTTCCCACTTCCCTCTTCCCCACGTCTTCTCCACGCCCTCTTCCTCGCCCCCTCCCCTCTCTCCCCCCCCCCATCCCCCTCCTTCCCCTCCTCCTCCCCTCCTTCCTTCCCAACCCCTGCCCTCCCCTTCTCGCTGCCCCTCCTCCCTGCGCTCCCCTTCTCGCTGCCCCTCCTCCCTGCCCTCCCCCTCCCTCCTGCAGCGACCTGAGCCACAACAGCCTGTGGGGCACCACGCCCTCTCACCTGGGTCTGCTGAGCAGCCTGAGGCGCCTGTGAGTTTGAGGCTTGAGAGACTCGAGAGTTAGGGGCTCGAGAGACTTGAGACTCAGGGGCCTGGGAACCTAAGGAAATGGCAACCGAGCTCACGCCATAGGAACACGCCACAGGAACACGTCACAGGGTACACGTCACAGGGCACACGTCACAGGGCACACGTCACAGGGCACACGTCACAGGGCACACGTCAGGAGGGCGTTGGATCCGCAGGCTTGGACGGGATTCGGGCGTGACATTTGTGGGCCATGCGCGCTGGGGTCTAGAGACACGGATAGTGAGAGGCAATGCACTTTATGAATTTCTATGCCACATGCCCGTACCATCCCATCACCCCCCCACACTCCAATTTTGCCGCCGCTCCACCCTCCCTTGCACCCTCCCTTGCACCCTCCCTTGCACCCTCCCTTGCACCCTCCCTTGCACCCTCCCCCCCATGCCCGTGCCAGGGACCTGAGCGTCAGTTCTCTGCATGGCTCCATTCCGGCCGGCCTTGGGATGCTGCCCAAGCTGCGCTTCCTGTGAGCCGCAACTCGGCCCTTCCACCGCATCACCGCTTACACCCCCTCTCGTGGCTCTTCCCCCTTGCTCAGAGACCCCTTGCTCATACGGCCCTTGCTCAGAGACCAGTTCGGCGTGCCATTTGCATGGCACGTTGGCTTCTGAGACCGCAATTACTTTACCACAGGAGTCTGCTTTCCCTTGGCTGATGGCCACTTTCCTGCAGGGACCTCTCGTCCAACTACTTCGATTCATCCGTGCCTGCCTCCCTGGGCCAACTCAGGACCCTCACCACTCTGTAAGTTGCGACAACTGCAATCGCCTCCCTCTCCACCCCTTGTTAGCTGCAAGACTTGGCACTGCCACGGGTTGAGCAACGAGCGGGCCCGGGCCGGGCCGGGCCGGGCCGGTGTCGGGTCGGCCCTGGAACCAGCCTGGCCCGTGGCCCGTGTTTAAGGGTTGGGCCGGGGTCGGCTCGTGACCGCAGATGGGCCGGGGAACAGGCCAGTTGGCCTTTCAGCCTGGCCCGCGACAGGTCGGGTATCCTACATGAGCGGCCTGTGCTCGTGCCTACTTGGCAGGATACAGGGTTTCTGTATGGGTGTCTTTCGTTTCTGTTTGTTAGGGCATCAGCCTTGATAGAACAGAGGAGGCGAGCGGCTTTTCCCCCTCAGCTGTCTGTGCTGAAATGCGATAGAGGAGCAGTTCTAGACTGCTTCTCATGCTATTGCTCATTTCTCTTATCACCCCTACTACACTATGCTCACCTTGTCGATGTTGTCAAGGTTTCCTGACTTCCATGCATGCTGTCGTGGCATGGGTGTTTCCAACGTCCAGTGACTTGAGGAACAACAGCTTGAGCGGCCGCGTGCCTTGGACTCTTGGCTTTCTCACGAGACTCAAAGTCATGTAAGCTCCTAGACTGAAGCAATCAAGGTCTAGATCTAGTGGTGCTCCGACATGCTGGTGCTCTGGCATGGTGGTGCTCTGAGCTACTACTGGCGGCATGCTATCCTACCTACCAGCCTTCTGGCGTTTCCGTGGAATGGAAGAATAAACCTTCTTGCCTCTCTTCCTTGCCTTTCCTGCTTGCCGCTCCTGCTTGCCGCTCCTGCTTGCCGCTCCTGCTAGTCTGAGCCCGCTCACGTGGCGCTGGTTCCCTCCCTTGCCTGCCTCCCACGGCTCCCGCGGCAGGGACTTGTCTGAGAACGGCTTCTCGTCCTCCATCCCGTCGTCCCTCGGCCTCTTGACCCGACTCACAACCCTGTAAGCATCTCGCCTCACAACCCTGTAAGCATCTCGCCTCACAACCCTGTAAGCATCTCGCCTCACAACCCTGTAAGCATCTCGCCTCACAACCCTGTAAGCATCTCGCCTCACAACCCTGTAAGCATCTCGCCTCACAACCCTGTAAGCATCTCGCCTCACAACCCTGTAAGCATCTCGCGTCACAACCCTGTAAGCATCTCGCCTCACAACCCTGTAAGCATCTCGCGTCACAACCCTGTAAGCATCTCGCGTCACAACCCTGTAAGCATCCTGATCAGGAGCTGCCTGCAGGTGTAGTGCATGTGGAATGCAGGTGGGTTGCAGGTGCAATGCAGGTGGAAGGCAGGTGCAAGGCAACTTTACCATAACTTACAAGCCTGAGGGTGAATCTGTGCAGCGTGTCATGACATCGTGAACCATAGCAACCGCTGTTAACCGCTGTCACGCAATGCGTATTCGACACGGCCGGTGAAGCGGCCCATAGCTCCCTACGGGGTGCGTGCACAACGCAGCCTATGAGCATCTTGCATGGAGCCTCTAAGCAGCTCATCAGCAGCTTAGCACGCTATTAGGCTGGTTGGTGTCGGAGAGAGGAGCCCTGGTCCCTGAGCTGTCCTGGGTACCTGGCGTCGTGCTGCTACGGGGTTGGGTCGTGCAGTGCTGCGCCTAACCTAAGAGGGGGACAGCTTCGGACAGCACGTGGAGGGTCACTCTCGTGCTGCGAGGATACACTCGTTGCTGGAGCCTCTCAGGTCATGCTGCCTGCCACGGACGGACTGTCTCCCAGGACGGACTGCCTGCCAGGACGGACTGCCTGCCAGGACGGACTGCCTCCCAGGACGGACTGCCTGCCAGGACGGACTGCCTGCCAGGACGGACTGCCTGCCAGGACGGCCTGCCTGCCAGGACGGACTGCCTGCCAGGACGGACTGCCTGCCAGGACGGACTGCCTGCCAGGACGGACTGCCTGCCAGGACGGACTGCCTGCCAGGACGGACTGCCTGCCAGGACGGACTGCCTCCCAGGACGGACTGCCTGCCAGGACGGACTGCCTGCCAGGACGGACTGCCTGCCAGGACGGACTGCCTGCCAGGACGGACTGCCTCCCAGGACGGACTGCCTCCCAGGACGGACTGCCTCCCAGGACGGACTGCCTGCCAGGATGGACTGCCTGCCAGGACGGACTGCCTGCCAGGACGGACTGCCTGCCAGGACGGACTGCCTGCCAGGACGGACTGCCTGCCAGGACGGACTGCCTGCCCTAGGAAACGGGTTCTAGGAAGTCGGAGCCACGGGAACGGACGTATGGAGAAGAGATCTACAGTGCCATCATGGCACCTGCCACGCGTGCCTCTTTCCATTGCATTCTATAACGCGTACAGCCTTCCAACCTCCAAGACAGACACCCCCCGACCCCCTCTCCTCCCCTCCTTTCCATCTCTCACCCTCTCTCCGCTTGTCGCCGCCTGTCTCCCCCTTCCCCTCCCTCTCCCCCCTGCTGTGCGCAGCAATCTGTCTGCCTGCTCGCTGATGGGCACGGTTCCCAGCATGCTCAGCTACCTCACTCGCCTCTACGCCCTGTGAGTCTCACTTGCCTTGTGGCGTATCTTGAATCAAGACGCCTGGTCTGTGTTGGCCCCTCTGCTTCGTGATTGTGCCCCTCAGGACGGACTGCCTCTCATGTTCGTGCTCGTGCCACCAGCTTCTTTGCGTCTTGTTAGACCTCGTGGCCTCCTTTGCTTCGTTGCTCGTGCAGCGACCTGAGCTCCAACGCCCTGAATGGCACGCTGCCTCGCTTGCGCAAGTACAGCCTACTCACGCGCCTGTAAGAGATACATACATGCATGCCATCTATTAGTGTCACACACATGGCATCCATTACTGTCGCATATCCGTTAGTGTCACACCATGCCATCCAGTAGTGTCACACCATGCCATCCCAACCTCCCCCCCATCCACCCCATCTCCCATCTCCCCTACCCCCCCCAACATCCCACAGCGACCTCAGTGCCAACGCCTTCCACGGCACCGTGTCTCGAGGGATGGGGAAGCAAGGATTTCGTTCCCAATGTTGACCCATTTTACCTCTTCTCCGTCTCCCATAATCCCCACCCCCCATCCCCCCCCATACCTCCCATCATCCCATCCCCCCCATCGCCCCACAGCGACCTCAGCGCCAACAGCTTCCAGGGCACCGTGCCTCGAGGGGTGGGCAAGCTGCAGCGCCTGCAGCACCTGTGAGACCCCCCCACCGCTCCTCGCCCCCCTCTCCCCTGCTCTCTCCCCTCTCCCCTCCTCCCTCTCCTCTCCGCACCTCGCTCTCCCCTCGTCCTCCGCTCTGCTTTCCTTGCCCATCTCACCTTCGAGGTTTACCTCTTGAGTTTTGTTCCAAAGCTCTTCGTGGCACACCTCACATTCTCCTTTCCCCGACCTCCTCACGCCCCCCCTCCAGCAACCTGACCATCAAACGGTCATATTTTGATTCGACCCAAAATACATCCGACCCCCTCATTCCCCTTCCCTCCTCATCCCCCCCCCCCCCCAGCGACCTGAGCGTCAACCAGCTGAACGGCACTCTGCCCAAGGGGCTCGGTAGAATCACCCTCCTCTCCCACCTGTCAGTGCCCCCCATTTTTTTTCATCATACCCATGACACCCATGCGATTCATGACACCCATGCGATTCATGACACCCGTGCGATTCATGACACCCATGCGATTCATGACACCCGTGCGATTCATGACACCCATGCGATTCATGACACCCATGCGATTCATGACACCCATGAGATTCATGACACCCATGAGATTCATGACACCCATGCGATTCATGACACCCATGCGATTCATGACACCCGTGGGATTCATGACACCCATGCGATTCATGACACCCATGCGATTCATGACACCCATGAGATTCATGACACCCATGCGATTCATGACACCCATGCGATTCATGAGACCCATCATACCCGTCAAGTCCATCACACACCATGTCAACTTAATATTCATCATACCCATCACGCGCATGACACGCATCCGCCCATCTCACCTGTACCAACCACAGTGCCTACAACGTCTGTTCCATTCGTTCAGTTCAATGGTTCCAACGCCCTCTCTCCCTTCTCCCTCTCTCTCAGTCCCTCCCTCTTTCTCTGTCTTTCCCTTCGCAGTGATCTCAGCATGAACTCTTTCAACGGCACTCTGCCTGACGGACTGGAACAGCTTACTGCTCTCACGTACCTGTGAGAACTTTTTTTCTTGCTCGCCGGTTGTCCATTGCGACGTCATCATTCCTTGCAATGCCATCATGCCTTGCAATGCCATCATGCCTTGCAATTCCATCATGCCTTGCAATGCTATCATGCCTTGCAGTGCCATCATGTGCCTCATTCCCATATGCCCCGTCCTCATGTGCCTTATCTCCATATGCCCCAACCCTATATGCCCCAACCCTATATGCCCCAACCCTATATGCCCCAACCCTATATGCCCCAACCCTATATGCCCCAACCCTATATGCCCCAACCTATATGCCCCAAACCTATATGCCCCAACCCTATATGCCCCAACCCTATATGCCCCAACCCTATATGCCCCAACCCTATATGCCCCAACCCTATATGCCCCAACCCTATATGCCCCAACCCTATATGCCCCAACCCTATATTCCTCAACCCTATATGCCCCATGCCCATGTGCCCCATGCCCATGTGCCCCATTCCCATATGCCCCATGCCGATGTCTCCATGCCCACATCCGCATGCCCATTGCTCCTCCAGCAACCTGGCCAGCAACACCATCAATGGCACCATCCCGAACTCTCTGGGCAATCGCACCAGCCTGCGCTCTCTTTTTGAGGCGCCTCAAAAATAGACTCCTCACCCATCCCGAACTCTCTGGGCAATCGCACCAGCCTGTGCTCTCTGTGCGCACCCTGCACCCCTTGCTCTGCACCGTCTGCTTGGTGTGTCGTTTCTCCATGCGCCTTTCTCTCATTCCTCCCACCTGTCCTCCTCTCGCCCTTCCCCGTGCCCCCCAGCAACTTCTCCTCCAATCTGCTCAACGGGTCCATCCCATCCTCCTTTGGCGGTTTCTCCCACCTCCTCTACTTGTGAGCCCCCCATACACCTAGTTGCGCGCATTATAGCACCTTTTCATCCGCCTTAAGAGCCTAATCATGGCGCTTGACTCAGCATTTCTTGTCCCGGCCCAAAAATTACCGGAATTATGGACAGACACATTTGTACTTCATACTTTAGCTGGCAGAATCCAGAATTTCTTGCAGCTATTATTGTGCCTGTTTATCTAATATTGTCCCTTCGTTACCACTTGCTGTTCCTGCTGCCTGCCCGATGGCTGCCACACGACGCCATTTCCCATTTACTCGAATCGAATCTTCCCTGAACTGCACAATCTCAACAGGCCTCTGCTTTCGGGTTATGTCCCCCACCTTGTGCTCCTCGTTCCTGCTCCCTGTGCTCACCAGTGACGTCAGCTACAACGGCCTCAATGGATCGCTCCCAGTCTCCTTCAGCAGACTCTCGGCACTCAAGCACCTGTAGGCACTCAAGCACCTGTTGTGCACATCGGTGCACGTTTAACGACCCATTCCCACATCGGACTAGCACCAGGCTGAATGCTTGACGCAGTCGTGTTATCATCCTTTGGGTAAACCACTTGTGCCGCATTGAATCTTCTTGTGTGTGGCTCGTCTCGCAGGCAAGTTGCCAACAACCAGTTGAACCAAACTCTGCCAGCCAGCATCAGCAATCTCATCAGCCTCACCAACCTGTGAGTGGTGGCTGTACTTCGGGAAATCCGGTCATTTTCTAACGCCTTCTCGATGTTAGCTGGCATCTTCCCCCCCTTGGTGCACTGTTCTCCCTTGCCTGCGCATTGCTTGAGTCCACGTTGTCAATAAACCCCAGGTGTTTGTGGATAATCTTATGGTTATAATTGTTCTGCAATCTTACCAACCATCGTGCTTTTTCCTCGGTGCAAAAGGAACCCGTTGCGTCTATCGTGAATTCCTTGATGCCTCTGCCCCATCTGCCCCATGGTCCTCCCGTCCTCCCAGCAACATCTCCATCAACTTCATCAACGGCACTCTCCCTGCCACCATCAGCACCCTCACCAACCTTGTCGCGCTGTCAGTCCCTCCTCCTGCCGCACCTGTCTGTCCCTCCTCCTGCCGCACCTGTCTGTCCCCCCTATCCTTTCACTGAAAGTGCTTTGTTGGATCACCTGTTCCCTTCACTTATGTTCTGTTCTCTGTCTGCTGTTGAGTCGGAACCCCATCCCTCGTCTCAGCACTTCACCTCATTCACATTTTCTCCAGCTTCACACTGGCGTCCTCCCACACATTTTTCTCCAGCTTCACACTGGCGTCCTCCCACACATTTTTCTCCAGCTTCACACTGGCGTCCTCCCACACATTTTTCTCCAGCGTCACACTGGCGTCCTCCCACACATTTTTCTCCAGCTTCACACTGGCGTCCTCCCACACATTTTACTCCAGCGTCACACTGGCGTCCTCCCACACATTTTTCTCCAGCTTCACACTGGCGTCCTCCCACACATTTTACTCCAGCGTCACACTGGCGTCCTCCCACACATTTTTCTCCAGCTTCACACTGGCGTCCTCCCACACAATTTTCTCACCTTTTGGATATTATTACGAGAAAATTCTGCTGTCGTTGCTTTCGGTGGTTGCATTTTGCAACTCTAGCGCGTTGCACTGCTACCTGATACCCATGTTGCAAACCTGTGCTGTGCTGGCCTGTGTGTGATCTGAGATGCCTGCAGGGACGTTCATTTCAACAGCATGAACTGCTCCTTCCCATCGTATATAAGCACACTCACCAAGCTCACATGGCTGTATGTCCCATACTATCTCTACACTGTGACACATGTGCGCCTGTCGCCTTTGCTGCAATGGCGGAAGCAAATCCCCCTTCCAGCACGCTCTAACTGTCATACTATCGTTGCGGAAAGTGAAGATACACGCTTGTAGCCCTTGAAGCCCTTTTGATTGCTGCTGCCCTAATGGTTTCTCACGTGCAGATTCTGAGGCGTTTCGCTGTTTCTTTCCTTCTTTGTACCGCACCAGCTGTTGCCACCGCTGCTGCCATGTTACCTGATGTTGCAACACGGCCGTGAAGACCTTGCTTCTGTTTTGCGACCTTCACGGCCCTGTTGATGTTGTTGTTTTGTTTCCCCACTCTCTGTCCCTCTACTGCCGCCAGTGACATGAGCGACAACAAGTTCTGGGGTCCCATTGGAGAAACCATAGGCACACTCACTGACCTTGAATTCTTGTGAGTTAATCCACGCCATGCCATGCCACGCCACGCCATGCCACACCACGCCATGCCATGCCACGCCACGCCATGCCATGCCACGCCACATCACGCCACGCCACGCCACGCCACGCCAGGCCATGCCACATCACGCCACGCCACGTCACGCCACGCCACGCCACGCCACGCCACGCCATGCCACGCCATGCCATGCCATGCCATGCCACGCCACGCCATGCCATGCCATTTCAGACACTCATGAGATTCCACATGAACTTTTGTCTGTCCGGTAACATTCTTATGGTCTATACAATATTCCGTTTTGCTCTGCTCCATGTAGCCTGACTGTTGATCCTTATACAACTCTTGCCTTCTGCCCTGTAAGCGAATCCCATCTCCTGTCCCTCCACTGCACTCTTTGTTGGCCTCCCTACTGCGCTCATTTTATTTATCTTCGACCTGCGTATTTTCCTCTGTCTCCCTATTGTACTCCCTTCAACTCTCGTTTAGCCGTATGGGGTGGAACCCCTACCTGGATGCCGACACGGCCATCAACAGGTTCATCCATCCCCAGCAGCATCGGTGCTCCGTGCAACCTGATTGGTACCTGATCTGCAATCTGTCCAGCTGTTCTGCTCCTTGTCTCATATGTTTCATATGTCTCATATAGCGCCCGATGAGCAGGAGTGTGGGTTGGAACCCAAGGCCCGATGCATACACGGATATCAACGGGTCCATCCATCCCCAGCAGCACTGGCGCTCCTTGCAACCTGATTGTTACCTGATGTCCTTCAACCGGTCTCGCTTCTCTTCCCTTGTGCTCTCCGCATATGTCCCCCATCGCTCCCCTTCCACTCTCGCGCAGGAGTGTGGGGTGGAACCCATATCCCGATGCCAGCACGGCCATCAACGGGTCCATCCCCAGCAGCATTGGCAACTTAATCAACCTCAAATACCTGTGAGCTCCATACTCAGTTCAGATCCTTCGAAACACGTTATAGCCCACACACACCTGCAGAACCAGCACTGTTGACGCAATCAAGCTGACACGCGTAGTTTGAGTCGACTCAAAATACACAACACATGCATCTGCACGACCGGCATTGTGATCGACCCATAGATGCATAGATTACAAGTCATCAAACAAGCTAACATCACTGTGTGCTGTGCACAGTTCACGATAACAGGCGTGTTTCGATAGGCGCCCACACCACTCCTCCATCCATGACGGGAAAAGCGCAAAAAAAAGAATTAACTATAGAAATAGAAAATCTGACAATATTAAGCAAAAACTTTTATTACCTAGCTAGCTCTTATTAGGGAATAAAAAGTCAAGAAGAAAGATGTAGAAAACGATACATAGACTTAATGGTTAATGATGAGAGTAAAGAAGTAATTATTAAAAGGTCATTTATAGTAAAACAAATCAGAGAATATTTAGACAGACAAGGATTTACAGAAACAGAAACTCCTATTTTGGTCTGTAGTGCTTCTGGAGCTGAAGATAAACCTTTTACTAATTTTCATTAAAAAAAAAAAAAAAAAAAAAAAAAAACTAAACTACAGAAATACCTCTGAAAAAATTGATTATATCTGGTCCAGATAAAGTTTACGAAATAGGCAGAGTGTTCCGCACGCTCATACCCTCGTGATCAACCATTATGTTTCCTCTTGCCGTGCACCAACAACAATCAACACGTTGAATACGAGACTAACCTATCTCTCATGAGATTCATTGTGGTGTACCAGAATCTCATTGCAGGCCATCCCTCATGATTGTCCTCTCTTCCTTCACACAGGAACCTGGCTGGCAACAAGATCAATGGCAGCATTCCAGAGAGCATGACAAGGCTGAAAAGGCTCGAGTTCTTGTAATATTGTGCTCCGAGAGGACCTCACTCACACACACAATGCTGTACCTTCACACACAGTGCTGTGCCTTCACAAACACAACGCCGTGCCTTCACTCCCCCTCTTGTCACGTGAAGACCCGTTCAAGCTCTCCGCTCTTCGGCACTGTTCCTTGATACACGCACACGTCTTCTGCCCACCTCACTCACGCACTCACCTTCTGCTCCCTCTGTTCCTTCTGCTCCTCCTGCTCTTCACGTTGTTCTGCAACGCCATCTCTCCCCAGCGTTGAGCTCCATGGCGTTTGGCAAGATGAACAATGGCCTGCCCACATCACGCACTCACGCACTCACTTCTGTCCCCTCTTGCCCCTCCTGCCCCTCCTGCCCCTCCTGCCCTTCCTGCCCCTCCTGCCCCTCCTGCCCCTCCTGCCCCTCCTGCCCCTCCTGCCCCTCCTGCCCCTCCTGCCCCTCTTGCCCCTCCTGCCCCTCCTGCCCCTCCTGCCCCTCTTGCCCCTCCTGCCCCTCCTGTCCCTCCCGCCTCTTCTGAGCCCAGCGCCCCTTCTCTTCGTTGCACCACCCCATCCCATACCCTCCCTCCTCTTCAGCTCCATGGCGTTTGGCAAAATGAACGTTGATCTGCCAGACTTCATTTCCGAGCTCACAGCTCTCACAGACATGTACGGTATTGATTTTTTATTTAGTTTTTTATCATGCCTCTAAGGGCAAAGATAGACCGCGTGTCAAGCATGTGGAACAGCCCTACCTGACTAGTGGAAGCACATACTGCCCGGGTGTCAGGGAAGTTTGACGCTGGCGGCAACATTTCCCGCTCTCCCAAACCGGTGAAAATCGCGTCTACCATCAACTTCAGTGTCGCATATATTGACTGTCCAAAAGCCGCAAAACAAGCCGATCCAATTCGCATGCCCCACGACCTTGGGTTGCTTGCGACTGGCAAATTATAGTCGTGCAGAGTGGCGTTCGATTGTATCGCGTGCGACCTCGCTAGTGCCACCTGGTGACACTTTCAGAGGTCCCGACATCAATGGTCGCGCAGTGGCCGTTAGGTCGACCTGTCCCATGGGTCAGCTCGCCAACCCTGTACCGACCGCCTGACACGCGGTCTAACTTTGCCCTAAGCCTTCGCCCTTTTTGCATGTGTATGGACTGGGCTGGGGCACCTGTACTGCACGTTTTAGGTCCCCAAATCACACTCTTAGTGTTCAATCCTGTATTCTTTAGTCGACGCAGGAGAATCGCGATGGGATTACATTCAAACTTTCCTTCAGAGTTCTCTCTCAGGATTGTGGGGTTTTTCTCCTGATCAGGCTATGGGAATGGTAAGGGATCTGTGGGAAATGCGCAGCTCTCTGATTGTTCTCTGATTATTTTATCTCTTAGCTTTTCTCTCTCCCCTCCTCTCCTCTCCGCTTCTCCTCTCTTCTTCAGCCTTGCGCCTGCATCAAACCTCTATCTTCTCCCTGCCCCATTGTCTTCCCCTGCTTTCCCCCAACCTCTACAGTGCGCTGCGCAGCAATCAATTCACGGGGTCGATCCCAAGCAGCCTCGGCACTCTCTCCCACCTGAAGCGTCTGTGAGTGGTGCTGTGTGCTGAGGGCAGTGTGGGTTGTGAGGGGAGTGCTTCATTCGTAATAATACAACCTCACAAACATGTATCAAACAAGCCTAAAACTGGTAATACCATGTTTACACTAGGTGTTTGGCTCACGGGATGAACCGAAACTGAATCTAATGTGAAATGTAGGCCAGAAAAGATGAGAACGTGACAACAGAGACTACGAAAAGTGACTGAGCAAAGGCTGGCATGTAATCCACCACAAGAAAAGCATATGCCTTCTCGTGGGCTGTCAGTTTTCCAAGCTGCTCCGTGATTGCCACTCCCAGGTGTCCCGCCCGCCCATGGCAGGGAGCTGAGCTACAACCAGTTCAACGGTACGGTGCCGGCATCGATAGGCAACCTGCACAACCTCACAGAGCTGTATGTGGGTTGGTGGGTTGGCGGGTTGGTGAGTTTCAAGGATTTCCAAGAATGGCGTGTGACATTCAGTGGCGAGTTGTGCTGCCGCACTTGAGCCGTATGTGCACCGCACCTACATTCATTCTCTTTGTGACGGTTTGATCGGTGGGGTTTTCACCATGCACACATGCGTGTTCCCCAATGCCCACTTCTATGTTCTCCATGCAGATGCGCGGATCGCACCCATAACTATGATGGTGAAACCCCATACTTGGCGGTCAATAACCATGTCAGTTGTCAGCCACACATTCAGCCTAGCTGCCCCCAATAACTATCTCAATAACCGCCAGCTGGCTGCGTGATACCTTGCTCGAAACCAACCTATGTGCTCCCCATTCCCCTCCCTAACGCCAGGTGGCTGCGTGACAATGTGCTCAATGGCACCATCCCAAGCTCATTCGGCCAGCTCACTAACCTTGTTGCCTTGTGAGTGCATTGCCGCAGACCAGTTATGCTCCTCCTCACTGCCTCCTCCTCACTGCCTCCTCCTCACTGCCTCCTCCTCACTGCCTCCTCCTCACTGCCTCCACTGGGGTAAATCCTTGTTGCATTTTGTTGGCCCCCCTCGTTTCTGCCATCCTTTGTTCTCTCTAGATTCCCATTATGCCAGTGTATATGTAGCTCTCTTCTAAAGCCAACGCAGGCCACTGCATCCCGATGTGCGTGTCATTGCATGCCACTGCATGCCTGCCATTCCATACCACTGCGTGCCTCTCATGTGGGCATGGCTTCATCAGGAGGAATCGTTGCCCTTCTCGTTTCTCACTTTCACTTCCATGCTTGCATTGCTTTTTCTGGTCTGCTTTTTCTAGTTTGCCCTTTCTAGTTTGCCCTTTCCAGTTTGCCCTTTCCAGTTTGCCCTTTGTAGTTTGCCCTTTCTAGTTCGCCCTTCCCAGAAAAGCTCAAGCATGCACGATCTCCTCTTGCGTCTCCCTCCAGGGAGTTCCGCAACAACGACATGAGCGGCACCATCCCTGCGTCCTTCTTCAACCTCACCCGCCTCACCAGACTGTCAGTCACTTGTTCTCCCTATCTTATAATGCCACTTCAGTCCTGCGTACTGCTTCCTGTGTTGAGCTTACAATCTCACACAACCATTCGATCCAACCGTTGTGGCAGTGACATGAGCGTCAACGGCTTCACAGGCCCACTGCACTCCGGCTTTGGGAGGCTTGGCAGCCTTCAGATCATGTAGGTGTCACAATTTTGAGGCGCCTCCGAATCAGACTCCCTGAGCCATCATGTAGGTGTTACGCTTTGTGACGCCCTCAGCTCATCATGAAAAGGCCCATCGTCAGCCTTGAGCTCTGGCGGGTAACGGAGTTGCAGGAGAAGCACAGGTGGGCTGCGGAGGCTCTATTGCCGTGACATCTGCAGGCGCAACCGAATGAACCCCATCAGGGCGAAACCATGTGTGTGGGAGAGAAAGAGCATGCGTGGAAAGAGGACTGTTGTGAGGTTCTTGTCGGTTTGAAAAGGCTTGTATGAAGCCAGTGTTTTGCCAATGGTCACTTCTCACAATGTGGAATGAAAGGATCAACATCGCTAACAGTGCCTCTAGGGGCCTTGATTAGAATCCAGTGCACAGGCTGGTTCCGTTGCCGCTCAGTCTGCATTGCCGGCCTCGATATCACTCCTTCTTCCCTCCCTGATGCTCATTCACGCGCGCCTGCTCCCCTCAGGGACGTGAGTAACTGCCAGTTCTCGGGGTCCCTCCCAGAAAGCATTGGGCGGCTCTCCAACCTCACTGTCATGTGAGTGCCTGCTGATGTCATTTACCGACATGGGAGTGCCTGCAGATGTCATCCCACCGTTGTGGGAGTGCCTGCTGATGTCATCCCACCGTTGTGGGAGTGCCTGCTGATGTCATCCCACCGTCATGGGAGTGCCTGCTCTCATCCCTCCCATGGTGTGCGTCCCACCTGTCATCCCTCTGACTCCTCCCCCATGTCTCATCTTCTGCTGTCAGGTGGGGATCCGGGACAGCATAGATGACTTATCGTCACTTGCCTTCCCTCTCATCCTCACATGTTCCCGCCTCGTGGCCCCCAGGTGGGTGGCCACCAATGCGCTGAGCGGCACGGTGCCCGAGGCATGGAGCAGCCTCACGCAGCTTCGCACCCTGTGAGTCCATCTTTGAGGTGCCTCAAAAATTGTGCCCGAGCCATGAAACAGGCTCCATTCGTTAGGCGCCTCTACAGTAGTGCGCGAGTCGAGAAACAGCCT